GCATACATTGCGCGATGTGTACTCGCCCAATGCACGCAATGACCAAGTCCGCTTCCAATGTACTACATGCATTGCGTTCTCTACACTTCAATCTTTGAAATTTCGGTTTTGCCCTGATTGGACGGCGCTAGTTTGTCGATAGTGAGGTGACCATGTGGTGAAATAAAATCATCGACAGAATTCTCGACTATATTTACATTTGACATGGATAATTTTTGTATTATTTTATATTTAATTAATGATACCTAGTATATTCTTAGTGAGACGTATTTTGAGTAAAATAAATATGTATTATTATTATTGAATTATTATCATTGAATNTTTACATTTGACATGGATAATTTTTGTATTATTTTATATTTAATTAATGATACCTAGTATATTCTTAGTGAGACGTATTTTGAGTAAAATAAATATGTATTATTATTATTGAATTATTATCATTGAATTAATGTGAAGGTATAATATAAAGAGACATGTAGACCTCTCATTTACGGGTATTTACTATATTGTCTAAGATTTATTAAAATTTAAGTAAAATGCTATTTGACTTATGCATTAAATTAAAAATTTTAGGTTTCCTAAAGAACCTAACGCCAGGGAACAATGGATTGACGTGACAGGTAGATGAAGCTGGAGACAAAGACGAGTACTATTTGCTCTAAACATTTTACTGAAAATGATTTTACCATAAAACACTTTGTTTTGAAAAATTCATTCGCAATTAATAGCAAGCGCCAACTGCTTAACAAATACGTTTTATTCCAGGGACAGTGATTATTTGTAATTAATAAAAGTAAAATAGTTTTTTTTCAATATTTATTTCGTGTTTCATTTTTCCCCTTTCATTAATCAGATAAATTATCGTTAAAGAATATCGGTTTTATCAAGCACTAGCGTGTATGAACATTTTAATTTCCTTTTTGCGTGTGTGAGTGTGTATGCCTACATGAGTTTTGTGCTAGTTTGTGAACGAATATCTGCCCTGAGATTTATGTGTGGGTGTTTTTGTTGTGTGCTAAATACTTGTGATGACAGTCACGGAATAGATAAATAAGGTTGGAATGGTAATGTAGGCGGGGCAAGCGTGCCACTGTTATGATAGAACAAACATAACTCGACCGATTCTTGCATTCACCGCGTTTAGTGCGCTTCGGACTACTTGGCGAACAGATCTCCGCTTTATAGTGCCGTGTTGTGCAATTATAACTTGTAAAACAAAAAATCAGACCTCAAGTATAGAGCGAGGAGGTATATCTTTCGATCGGTAAGTCGAAATTACCATTTAATTACAATATTATTTGTCTAAAACATAAAAATATACTGAGCATTATGAAATTCCAAACATTAACAATATTATTGCAGCAAGTTATAAATAGCATACATTGCGCGATGTGTACTCGCCCAATGAACGCAATGACCAAGTCAGCTTCCAATGTACTACATGCATTGCGTTCTCTACACTTCAATCTTTGAAATTTCGGCCTTTGCCCTGATTGGCCGTGCAGTTTGTCGATAGTGAGGTGACCATGTGGTAAAATCATCGACAGAATTCTCGACTATATTTACATTTGACATGGATAATTTTTGCATTATTTTATATTTAATTAATGATACCTAGTATATTCTTAGTGAGACGTATTTTGAGTAAAATAAATATGTATTATTATTATTGAATTATTATCATTGAATTAAAGTGAAGGTATAATATAAAGGGACATGTAGACCTCTAATTTACGGGTATTTACTATATTGTCTAAGACGTATTAAAATCTAAGTAAAATGCTATTTGACTTATGCAGTAAATTAAAAATTTTAGGTTTCCTAAAGAACCTAACGCCAGGGAACAATGGATTGACGTGACAGGTAGAGGAAACTGGAGACAAAGACGAGTACTATTTGCTCTAAACATTTTACTGAAAATGATTTTATCATAAAAAAAATCAGAATACACTTAGTTTTGAAAAATTCATTCGCAATTAATAGCAAGCGCCAACTGCTTAACAAATACGTTTTATTCCAGCGACAGTGACTATTTGTAATTAATAAAAGTAAAATAGTTTTTTTTTCAATATTTATTTCATGTTTCATTTTCTCCATTCATTCATCAGATAATTTATCGATAAAGAATATCGATTTTATCAAGCACTAGCGTGTATGAACATTTTTATTGCCTTTTTGCGTGTGTGAGTGTGTATGCCTACGGGTGTTTTGTGCTAGTTTGCGAACGAATATCTGTCCTGAGATTTATGTGTGGGTGTTTTTGTTGTGTGCGAAATACTTGTAATCACAGTGTGTGTATGTGTAGAAATTAAAATAGTGGGGATGAAGCGGCGACACTGGTTCTAATACAAAATTAGAGCAAAGGCCTTTCCAACCTTATTTATCTATTCCGTGGTGGGGACGAAGCGGTGACACTGGTTCTAATACAAAATTAGAGCAAAGGCCTTTCCAACCTTATTTATCTATTCCGTGGGGTCTGGTAACCACTTAATACCAAGTGGGCTGTGAGCTCGTCCACCCAACTATAAATAAATAAATACATATATGTGAATATTGTTTAGGGTAAGCTGGCAGACTATTTCTATTCACGTCCTTACGGATCCATCAGATCAGAATTACCTTTGCATTAGATGCCTTCAGCTCTAATACTAGGGGCAGGCTTAGGGACCCCGGTAACCGTACTCGTCGAACTCGACAAAGAGGTCGACGTGCAACCTAACCCATGCATCAGCCCGCTGAGTTTCTCGCCGGATCTTCTCAGCGGGTCGCGATTCCGATCCGGTAGTAGATTCATTCGCGAAACAATTGCTCTTGAGTNAGATATTCCTTCCAAAACCTTGGTGTTACGGTGGTTTTTTACTCAGTTTTTGAACGCGCATTGCAGCGTTTTGACGTCTTAGTGTTGGCTATGATTGGACCATACTAATTTGAAATAAGACCACAAATTTATTTGTGGTCTTATTTTTCGGGCCGTTTTTGAAGCGCTAATCGCGAATCTAGTAGTATTATTGATCGAAGTTCAATTGTGTTGTATAAAGACTGGCCCATCCATTTAATTTTGTGGTCGTCGTGGCCTAACGGATAAGACGTCCGGTGCATTCGTGTTGAAGTGATGCACTAGTGTTCGAATCCCGCAGGCGGGTACCAATTTTTCTAATGAAATACGTACTCAACAAATATTCACGATTGACTTCCACGGTGAAGGAATAACATCGTGTAATAAAAATGAAACCCGCAAAATTATAATTTGCGTAATTACTGGTGGTAGGACCTCTTGTTAGTCCGCGCGGGTGGGTACCACCACCCTGCCTATTTCTGCCGTGAAGCAGTAATGCGTTTCGGTTTGAAGGGTGGGGCAGCCGTTGTAACTTTACTTGAGACTTTAGAACTTGTATCTCAAGGTGAGTGGCGCATTTACGTTGTGGATGTCTATGGGCTCCAGAAATCACTTAACACCAGGTGGGCTTTGAGCTCGTCCACCCATCTAGGCAATAAAAAAATAAATAAAAAAAAACCTTCAAACCAGAATACATGACTGCTTCGTGACAGAAATAGACAGAACACCTAATCGTGCAGCCTATACACCCTCTCTACCACTAGTAAATTGCAGTTGAAGATCGCATTACACTTGGATATTACTCAGAGAGCGCCACCGCGTCCTTGCCCATTCTTCGGTAAATTGCTTAATAGTCTTTAACGCCACATACAGCACATATCAATATCGCTTTGTAAATTTTCTTAAAGTGACCGATCAATTTAATCAATATCGCCTAATATTGCACTGCAATCATTGCGCACTGTTGCATTTACTTGTCCAGTATTGCAATTCTAAAATGGACGTCGAGTTTGTCTTTTCTTCAGAATCTGTTACTACCCGTAGAAGCGCCTCAGACAAATTAAAAGCAATTGTTGTAAAAGCCTATGATTTAATTTTGTTTTGTTCACTTCGTCAAAATGGTACGTTTGTAGGAGTATGATACCTCGTCCCACTTAGCTGACTAGATAGTTTTAGTAATAATCGGGGCGGGGTATTTTTATTCCCCTCATCATCATTTTTTTTAGTATGGGACATTTGATATGATGCAGTCTACTACACCAAACACTAGTTTGGTATCACCATCCTCTCTATTTCTGCTGCGTAGAAGTCATTCGTTCGTGCTGTGGTTGCGACAGTCGTAATATTATGAAGACTAATGATGGAATGATTACAGCTGAATGGTCCTTGAGTTCATTCACCGTAACAGATATTCGTAAGTTATTCTGACCCGGATTATTATTATTATTATTATTATTTTTTATTGCTTAGATGGATGGACGAGCTCACAGCCCACCTGATGTTAAGTGGTTACTGGAGCCCATAGACATCTACAACGTAAATGCGCCACCCACCTCGAGATATAAGTTCTAAGGTCTCAGTATAGTTACGACGGCTATCCCACCCTTCGAACCGAAACGCATTACTGCTTCACGGCGGAAATAGGCGGGGTGGTGGTACCTACCCGTGCGGACTCCCAAGAGGTCCTACCACCAGTGAAAATTATTCTTCTTATTCAAGCGTCATCTTCTAACGAACCGCTCTAGATACACTAAATAGCGTAGTTTTTGCATGCGATATGTTTGTATCCTGCTCGGGCCTAATAGTCGTGACAGATTGCACGTGTCAAAAAAAGTCTTTATTCAAGCAAGTCCTTTCACACTTTTTAAGTGGTTATAACGTTTTCAGATATTTAAGGTATCAATATTCCTAGACTATCATGCTAAGGGTACAGCTAGGTCTTGACTAGTTGTTATGACTACTTTCAAACTTTACTTGTAGAAGGATATTTCATAGTACTTTGAAGGAACGTTGAGAAGCATGTAGAGCATATTAAGCGTGCAGTGTTTATGCACACACGCACACTCACACAGTTATTGTTCTAAATCTTGTAATTTCACTTCAATTTCATGACGAGATGTTACACATTTGATAGACGTTCTCGTATTTCTCTTGCTAAATCATAATTAAGTGTCGTAGGGGATACCGTGATCATGCGGGTGGTTCCCCCAGGGCGAGGCTGCCCCATTGCACTGCGGAGTGGTTGACACTTGCGATTATTATTATTTTTAGCAATAAAAAATCAACAAAAAATGTATACCCGAATAATTATTTTCTTTATACCTCGAACAGAACTTAAAATTATTATTTTTATAATAAGGAACTTCGTTTCATCCGTGATTATCGCACCATCTCCTTTGAGGCAGCGTGTGTACTGGCTAGGCGCCGCCTTGGGTTCTGAAAGCGAACGCACTCGCCGCTGACTATCAGTGGCGGGCTGACCTTCGTGCCCGGGGCGTGGCGCGTCCCAGCCCCAGTCTGGTCAGAGCGCGGAGGACACAATCTCGGCGGTCCGTGCTGGAGTCATGGTCCAGACGACTGGCTGATCCTTCGGCTAGTCGTAGGACCGTCGAAGCGATTCGCCCGGTCCTTGTGGATTTGGTGAATCGTGACAGAGGACGCCTCACTTTCCGGCTTACGCAGGTGCTCACTGGGCATGGTTGTTTCGGTGAGTTCCTCCACCGGATCACAGCCGAGCCGACGGCAGAGTGCCACCATTGTGGTTGCGACTTGGACACGGCAGAGCGTACGCTCGTCACCTGTCCCGCATGGGAGGGGTGGCGCCGTGTCCTCGTCGCAATAATAGGAACCGACTTGTCGTTGCCGAGTGTTGTGGCATCGATGCTCGGCGACGACGAGTCGTGGAAGGCGATGCTCGACTTCTGCGAGTGCACCATCTCGCAGAAGGAGGCGGCGGGGCGCGTGAGAGACGCACAATCCCGCCGCCGTCGAGCGGGGGCCAGGGAGGCGGATCTCGCCCAAGCCCTGGCCCTCTAAGTGTTTCGNGGCCAGGGAGGCGGATCTCGCCCAAGCCCTGGCCCTCTAAGTGTTTCGGGTCCCCCTCACATGTCGGTCTGGGGACCGGCGAGGGGGGCCTAAGAAGACGACGTGCAAGCTGCTCTGCACGCGTTTTACGCAAGAGCATCCGGGTGATGGAAGGCCGGCTATCCTCGACCCACGCTGGTTCTGGCCCAGTGGGGTATTCCGTAGGGTAACCCACTCTAACCGGCGCCATCTAGGCGGGCTTCGGACAGTCTGCCGACCGAGAGGGCTAGTGGTCGTGGCGCCGACGACCGCCAGTCCGGCGTCCCGAGGGGGAGGGTGATGGGAGAGATGTGCTCCGCACTAAACGCTTCACTTCAAAGGGGGGAACCCTTTGCCTTGTCATGAGTTCTGTCTCATGCGAGGTTTGGACGTTGGTTGTTGAGCGACAGGAGGTTTTAGTCAGTACGACTCTGACATACCCCGCCCAGTATACCCAGAAAAGGGCGGAAGTCCGGCGATTTCCTCCTGACCAAAGAAAAAAAAAGGGAACTTCGTTCCTATCCGGTGTCCCACGACACCGGACATCTTTTTAAAACATTCTTGAATTGTTTCAAATATCTTAATTTTGAAATGAATTCATTTTGAATTGAATCATTAAAATATTCAGGTTACAAGAGGTTATTCGGTTATTAGGTTATTAGGGTAGGATGTTATTAGGGTATTTTTATTCTCTATTATATTTTTTTGTCAAATTCCTATTTTATTATTATGGTTTTTAATACCATCATTATTTAGCTTTTGAGATCGTTGTACAATCGCTTAATTTCTAAAGCTCATTCACAGTTGTATTTCCTATTACCTACCAGCAATTATTATCTGCATTTTCAGGCAAATTATTCGACTGTGTACTTACAATATACCATGTTATATAAGATAATCTCCAGGTGCGAGAATTTATCATATTATTATGGGAAACAAAAATATACCAAATAACATAATTTTTCATATTTATTAGCTAGTCATCTTTCATTATTATTAAATTTTGTACAGTAGGCAGGTATTATTTAAGAACGTACGGCTTCAATATATTTCCAGGTATCGAGCTCTTTCAAGTATTCGTTTCCTAGAGTAGTTGAAATGTTTGAAGTAACAATAGAAATAGCGCCATGGAACCTGTTGACGTATCCAATGATAACTTCCTCAATCAGCTTGTTGATAACAGCGTCGATGCTGCCACCGCCGATAACTCCAGAGAGGTTGGACTAAAATGAAAAATAATAATATGATTAATGTATAATTAATTAATATTTATGACCTCGCATAATAATAGTGATATGTGCGTTTGAGAGTTTTCATCCGATTCAGTTGAAATTGCATAGTCGTGTTAGCATTGGGAATGTAGTACAATCAAATGATTTCATACGTTTGGCGATAGTCGCCGCGGAACGTTCTAGTACTGAAAATAATATGGATCATCTATACTAATATTATAAAGAGGAAAGATTTGTTTGTTTTGAATAGGCTCCGAAACTACTGAACCGATTTGAGAAATTCTTTCACTGTTTGGAACCTACACTATTCCTGAGTGACATAGGCTATAATCTTTTTTGAAAAAAATAGGGATCTTTACTAAAACTCCAATAATGTAACCCAAGGTGTAAAAAAATACCTAAAATATTCTTTACATCGCGTGCCCTCTGAAAACTATTCATGATGAATAAAATAATGTACTACGACTTTGTAGAACACATTATTATTTACAAAAAGTACCGCGATAGCATATGTCTAACTATTAGAGTTATGCCGCAATAAGTGTTCTTTTATTTTAAAAAATAAATAACGTCAAATATCGTTCAAGTTTTTGTTAAAGACCCGAGCGGAGCCGGAGCGGGCCGCTAGTTGTTAATAAAATAGATATTCTAATTTGTGAACTATCATTTATAGATAGATAGAACGATGCCTTAGTTTATTAAAAATGATGCTTCTCATAGCGTTCGGAAAAACTGTCGATACCGTAAGTGTATAAACATAATAATATTGTCGGGGCGAGTAATCGAATACCAGTGGTAAGTCCGGAAAAAAGATCAGAAAGACAGATTTTTCTGTTCTTAGCTCCTCCCGACAGTTTTCAGTCTACCTGTGATCATGGCGCTTGCGATCATATCGAAATATGGAGAACTCATTACATAACAAAATAGTGATATGAACCGGTTAAATAAGATTGTATATAAAGTATGAGTTTTATCAGAACTGCTCACTTTTAGGTGTGGAATAGTAAAGTCTGCATTTTCAACTCTATTAATGACTACTGATTTTTTGTTCTCGTGTTGCTCCAAAAACAGTTTGGCACGGAAGCGGAATCCTTCAACTTCGAATCTGGAATTAAAAAAACCCATTAGTAATTTAATAGTTTGCTTGAAAAGGACTTGGTTTTATTTTGATTACTGTTTTTTGTGGAGTGCAAAAACCAAGTAAAAATATTAATAAAAATAGAAATCTATGTTCGTATTTATTGGAGGTTAAAGGATATTTATAAGATTTATAATTTGTGTGATTGTTTTTTAATGAAAGTTGTATGTATATATATGGCGCATGAAACTTCAAATATATTATTACTGAAACTTACTCGGCTCTGCCGTTTCCGAAAAGAGGAAGAGCACCAAAGAAATCTCCAACCAAATCGTAGTTTTCTGAAGAAAAAAAATGTATGTAAGAGCTCATTCTGCCCTCGAGTGTAATGACTTGTTTTTTTCTTAAATTAGGTTGGTTAATAAACAAAATTATATATTAGTGGTAAGTGATTATCGGAGTTCATTAGCATAACCAAACGGTCCGCAAGAAATTTCGGTTGTGGGCGCTACCGGTGACGGAGCGTCTCCAATATCGGCAGTTGCGGGAGATTGTTTCCGGACTGTTCCCGCGGACGCAGCACTACCCTCCATGCTCACGCTGCCACGCGGAGACGTGAATTATGATGCTCCTGCTGAGGTGTTCCCTCCGAGCATCCGCAGGAAGAGATTCGTGCGGTCGTGTCGAGGATATGCAGGTAGGACGCGCCTCTCGGCCCTGACGGTGTTCTCGGCGTCATTGAGTATTTTCGTAGGCTGATCAGGTCCTATCTCGGGGACAGGTCAGTCGTGTGCACCAGGACGGCGGGGCGGAGCTTCCCCATCGAGCGCGGTGTTCCAGAGGGGTCAGTCCTCTTGTGGAACATCGACTACGACGGCTTGGTCCTGAGGCGCCCTTCGCGCTCCTCTCCCGGTCTGAGCGTAGTTTGTTACGCGGACGACACACTGGTCGTGGTCCGGGGGAAAGATTTGCGCGGGTGTTCTCGGCTTTCCTGCGCGGGAGTAGCCTTCGTCATCGGCAGGTTCCGAGGGCTGGGTCTGGAGGTGGCGCTCGATAAATTCCAGGCCCTGTTGTTTCACGGGGCCCGGGGAGCGCCGCCTCGAGGCCCATCTCGTGATCAAAGACGTCCGCGTCGAGATCGAGGTGACTGGGTTGCGGTACCTCGGTCTTCCCGGTGATGGCTACGGGGCGACCTAAGGGGGTTGAGGCTGCGCCGCACGCTACCGTCACTCTAGCGTGCTGGCACCAGGAGGACGGGACCGCGGGAACCCCCCTACTCTGACCGGGTTTTGACCCCGGACGGAGATCGGACGTCGGGTGTAAGAGTGCAGGGGAGTCGCTTAGTGTGTGGGCCCTAAAATTCCTTGGGCCCGTGGTCTGCTCCTAACAAGGGTCAAGTCCCACATACCGCGCGCCCCCTAGGCGCGGGGAACTCGTCGGAGGTTCGGCCTCAGGCCCAAAATAAAAGGGCCATTAGCATCACAACGTAAACGTCGTCGGCCTCTTTGACATATCACCGAGTTTAAAATCTCAACTATTGCATAATGCTTGGAACAGTTAAAATATGGAACGTTTATTTCTCTATATTTTCGTACATTTTAGGAACTTACCAGCAGTAATATCAAGTGTGGGTAGGCCAATATCGATATCCAAAGTAAGGTCATCGACGTTGAGATCGATTTTGTGTACAATCAGGTTTCCAAAACCAAAGGCAACAGCATCTTTCAGCTTGAGTTCGACGCTAAAATAAATACGTACATATGTACTTGCAAACGTGAAGGCCGCCAATCAATCACTACAATTTATTAATATCCAATAAGATTGAGACACCGAAAGAAACTCTCTCTCTCTCTAAACTGAAAGGCTGACTGTTTCGAGGCAGATATGTTGAAATGGTGGGACCGAACGACCAATTAAATGTGTACTTCTTATGAAACTTCTATTCGCACAAGAGCAGCGGAGTTCATCCATACTTATTATCTGGAATCGCTGCTTTCATCGACATTGCGCAGCAAGCAGTAATGCGTTTCGGTTTGAAGGAGTAGCCTTTGCAACTATACTGAGGCCTTAGAACTTATATCTCAAGGTGGGTGGCGCATTTACATTGTAAATGTCTATGGGCTCCAGTAACCACTGAACATCAGGTGGGCTGTGAGCTCGTCCAACCAACTAAGCAATAAAAAAAAATGCCTTTCCAAAGATCTTTTCTGCCACGTACTTACTATCCGGCTTTGGAATGAGCTCCCCTCCACGGTGTTTTTCGAGTGCTATGACTTGTCCTTCTTCAAACGAGGCTTGTGGAGAGTACTCAACGGTAGGCAGCGACTTGGCTCTGCCACTGGCGTTGCTGAAGACCATGGGCGACGGTAACCGCTTACCATCAGGCGCCAGCAAAGGCAATAAATAAAAAATCCCATGCGCAAGTAAATTGTGGATCAAATAATAACATTACCAGTATACAATAACCGTTACTTTTTTATAAAGTATTAACAAAGTAAAAATATTAACTTACTTAATAATTCCAGCATTAATAGGTAGTTCGAAGTATTCTAGGACCAAAGGCTCAAGAGGAGGAAGATTGAAAATTGGCCAGCCATTCTCCACTACATTGTAAATGAACTTCAAGAGTTCTGCAACCAGCTCTTCTACGGTCTGTGGCAGTTGTGGAGTGTGGAGGGGCTCAAGCTGTGGGGGCTCTTCAGGTGCTGGGGGTTCAGGTTTTGGAGGCTCTTCAGGTTTTGGTGGTTCAGGCTGTGCAGGTTCCTCTGGTGCTGGTGGTTCTGGCTGTGGAGGTTCCTCGGGTGCTGGGGGTTCAGGCTGTGGAGGTTCCTCTGGTGCTGGAGGTTCAGGCTGTGCAGGTTCCTCTGGTGCTGGGGGTTCAGGCTGTGCAGGTTCCTCTGGTGCTGGAGGTTCAGGCTGTGCAGGTTCCTCTGGTGCTGGAGGTTCAGGCTGTGCAGGTTCTTCTGGTGCTGGGGGTTCAGGCAGTGCAGGTTCCTCTGGTGCTGGAGGTTCAGGCTGTGGAGGTTCCTCTGGTGCTGGGGGTTCAGGCTGTGCAGGTTCTTCTGGTGCTGGGGGTTCAGGCTGAGGAGGTTCCTCTGGTGCAGCGGGTTCGAGTTTTTGGGCTTTGGTTGGAGCTGAGGGTTCAGGTTTTAAAAAAATATTCAGTATATATTAGCTATTAGAGATAACTACGGGAATCGTATTACTATACAGTTACTCTCACTTTAACTTTATGTTTGGATTTAATTAGATTTTAATTAAATTTAAGCACAGTTAGGGTATATCTTTTGGAAACTCACAAATCTTACCCGCTGATTTTAAATACTAGTTAATGAGTAGCTTAAAGCTAATTCAACGAATCTAAAACCTAAATCTAGACGTGAAAAATAAGTTAAAAGTATGCATGTCTCTTCAAAATAATTAGAATTATTGCTATAATATTCTTTTTTAATAAAATAAAAAAGATTTAACACTCACCGTCATTTAGGACTGAAAGCTCCCATGGTTTCGCAGCCGCGAGGGCGCACAGCGTCAAAATAATCAATAACTTCATCCCTAAATGGGACCTAAAAATTAATTAAACAATCAAATACAATAAGTAAGTAAAGTGTGTTTGAAATGAAAAATATCATCATCATCATCATCATTTCAGCCTATCGCCGTCCACTGCTGAACATAGGCCTCTCCAATAGATTTCCAGTGCGACCGGTCCATTGCCACCTGCATCCAACGAGACCCAGCGCTTTTTACTAGGTCGTCGGTCTAGGTGGCCGTCCCACACTGCGCTTGCCAGTACGTGGTCGCCACTCCAGGATCTTTCTGCCCCATCGACCGTCCTCTCTTCGTGCTATGTGGCCGGCCCATTGCCACTTCAGTTCACTAATTCTACGGGCTATGTCAGCAACCTTCGTTCTTCTACGGATCTCCTCATTTCGGATTCGATCACGTAGAGAAATGCCGAGCATAGCCCTCTCCATAGCTCGCTGCGCGACTTTGAGCCTTCTAAAAAGATCCCTAGTGAAGCACATGAAAAATATGCGTGGAAAGAAACAGGCGTATATAATTAATGTGTACTAATATGGACACAATGGTGTAGCGCTGACATCAATTCGTACTGACTAACAAACTTCCTTTCCACTATTAACGGTAGGCAAAATATTAGAAAACCGAAGATGTAGCTGCTTCGGACATATTAATTACAAGCCGTAGTAACAGCTCAAGAATTTTGGGTTAGAACCGGAGTTTTCTCAGCTATACAGATCCTTAGTACTTGAACCTGTATTCTTAGACGAAAATGTGAAGTTTTTCTACGGGTGCTCACGACCTATGCTTATTATAACAATATTATAATTTCTATACTATGGGTGCGTTTAATGAGTCTCTTGCCACTGTATACCTATCATTTAAAAAAAGTATATTATATGTAATAGTGACACATGGCAATTAAAAAAAAGTGAATCTAATAATATGAACTAGGTACGTACCTTGCATTTACTTCACTTGTCGTTAACTACACTTTTCTGGAGATCGTCTCGGTATATACATTTAAAATGTAGTAGTAAAGGGTGAAATTTAATTTAAGATATGGGTTCTGCCTAAATATCGATAAAATTCTAATCAAAAGAGATTAAGTCTAAAGATATCAAGGTAAAAACATATTTAATTATAATATATATACTGGAAGAGAATATGGAGAGTTTTTGTTGCTTTAGCTTGAACCTAAAACATTATTTTGCTTTAGATCAACCAAAAGTGCTTATCAAATCTATAGTATTTAATATTTTTTCTGTTAATATATGCTTCTGTACAAGTATCGTTGTTGTGGTGGTGTGGTGTGGTATTTTGATTTCTAACAACATGTTTAGTAAGATGGAACCCTAACGCTCACGGAAAGCAATCAGTAACAGTAATTTATTATCATTCAATAACATCAAAGTATATTTTATGAAAGTAATTGGATAAGATTGTTCTATGTATATCAGATGAACGTCACTACATCTTTTTTAATCATTACGATAATATGTGTGCCGTACAATAAATTTACCGTGGGACGCAAAGATCATAAAATGTGATCGGAGGCTTTTTGCAGCAGCAGAATTATTGAATCGGTTGCATACATTTCTGCCACTAAAACTACGCATACACAGTCTTATAGTCACACTTATATGATAACATGTTATAATAGTATGTTCTAAGGTGATTGAGGAAGGAAGGAACGAACGAGGAAGGAATACTTAGATCATTACTTTTTGGTAAGCTATCTGCGTTATGGTCATTCGTGCAGCTTGCCTTGATTAATAAATGCTTACAATAAATAATGATTAGTTTCAAACCTATAATTTGAGAGTAATTCCTTAGCAACCCATGAATTCAACGTACTGGTGCTGGGACCATTGTATTGCTGAGAGAGGAATTTGGAGAATGCCAGTGGACTTGCGATCGGTGTCTGCTGCCGCCCGCCGCCCGCTGTTCAGTGGGGGACCTGAACCCGGTCGTCCCTAATAAACTCCGCCCCGGGAAGCAGTCCCGCCAATCGGTGTAAAATCCTGTCATTCGGTCGTCGTGCCGGAGTTAGAGACCGGAGTGGATCCCGGGGATCGTATGCAGGGTGGACTGGGGGCTCTTCCATGCCCTGCATCAGCTCCTCGCGCAACTCCTGGTCGAGTGTTCACTGTTCACTGCGCTTTATTCAGGTATTACCTTGATCTCATCTCTAACATCCTACCTCTCCAAATCCTTACTCTAACCAATTTTTTTTATTGAAACGATAGTCGATAATAGGAAAAAGTTTTTTCGGTGGACCCCCATTCCACATTTCATGTGGATTTCAGCAATGTCAGGGGCCTACACAGCAACCTTGACGCCATACATCACCACCTTGAGACAGCGCAGCCTGTCCTCTTTTTCCTGACAGAGACGCAGATATCGACCCCGGATGGTACTTCGTACCTCGAATACCCCGGCTACACATTGGAGCACACCTTCCTGCGTAAGGCAGGGGTGTGCATCGTTATCCGGGGAGATGTCTGCTGTCGTCGGCTTCGGAGGTTCGAGCAACGGGATCTGTCCCTCTTGTGGCTACGTGTGGACTATGGGGGTTGTACCCAAATCTACGCCTGCCTGTATAGGTCCCACAGCAGTGATGCGGGGTCAGCTCTGTTCGAGCCCTGACCTCCCGGGTCAGGTTGCCTACGATTTCATCTTGTCCTACGGCCTCACTCAGCTGGTGACACAGCCCACCTTTGTCCCAGATATTGAGGGGTACGAGTCTTCTTTGTTGGACCTTCTGATGACATCTCACCCAGCTGAATACAGTGTGGTGGTTGAAACTTCACGTGGATCGTCTGATCATTGCCTTATCCGTGCTGCGATACCGCTCTCTCGTCCTGGTTGTCGAATGATGACCGGGTTTCGAAGAGTTTGGCGGTACAGGTACAGATTAGGACGGAATGTGTGAATTTTACGCATCCTTCCCATGGGGGCGGCTCTGCTTTTCCTCCGATGATCCTGACGTCTGTGCGGACCGGCTTAAAGATGTGGAGCTTCAGGGAATGAAATTATTCATTGCTTCTTCTGAGGTGCCCGTTGGGGGTCGCAGCAAGTCTTGGTATAATAAAGCCAGTAGAGATGCTGCACACCTCAAGCGGTCCACATAAGCGGCACGGAATGATGCTAGGAGACGCCAGGACTCCGACATTTCGGAGAAAAGGCGGAAATTTAACATCATCTCTAGGTCCTATAAGAGGACTATACCCAAGGCGAAGTCGGAGCACGTTGCCAGAATTAGTGAGCAACTGAAAAGCTATCCCTCTAGGAGCCGTGCTTTGTGGTCGCTTGCTAAGGCTGCAGAAGGCAAAATCTACAGGTCTTGTCTCTCCCAGCATGACGTAAGTCCAATGACAGTCTGGCCCATATTGCGAAAGAAAATACTGACTTTCTGGTCAAACTCTTCGCCTCGAACTCCACTGTAGATGATGGGGGTGCCACACTACCCAGCATCTTCTGGTCTGATAGCTGTCCCTGTGATCTGCTTTACACAGTGTGTAGTCAGGCGGGGCCTCCGGGCCCTGGATGACCATAAGTCGAGTGGACCAGATTGCATCCCTGCAGTGGGTTTGAAAACGTGCGTTGTTATGCAGATGACGGCACGGGCGATGCGCGATAGTATCGGCCATCAGAGTCTTTCTCGGAGCGTGATGCAAGAGAGACGATCTAAACTTGTGTCTGAAGTGGAGAACTCTTTGGGGCGAGTCTACGAGCGGGGTGAATTGAACTTAGTTCTTGAACTTTGTTCAATTCAACCCATTGAATACACAAGTTTTCGCGCTCACTGCGAAGACAGACCCCTTTGTCATGGTGCCACAATTTCAAGGAGTATCCCTGCAATCTTCCACGAGTAATGGGATACTTGGGGTCAACATTTTGAGCGATGTCCAGTTTTGAAGTCATTTGGGAAGCAAAGCCAACTTGGCGTCAAAAATGCTGGAGTCCTCTACAGAGCGAAGCGGTACATCACGCCTGGATAAAGACTCTTGCTTTATAAAGCACAAGTCCAGCCTCGCATAGAGTATTGTTTCCAAATACCAGCTGGGGCTCCCGCATATCAGCTACTTCCATTTGACTCCATACAGAAGAGGGCCGTTTGGATTGTCGATAATCCCGTTCTGACGGATCGTTTGAAGCCCTGGGTCTGCGGAGGGACTTCGCTTCTTTCTGCATTTTGTACCGTACGTTCCATGGGGAGTGTGTAATATAATTAGTATTACAGAATCGAGTTTGTTCACGATTCCTAAATCACATCGCATTGAAATTTAGTGGATTAGGTGATAAGATACCTGAGAATATTTTAGAAAATATAATAACATGATTATCAAAAATTGATTAAGTAGCATTTTACCATTATCAATACGAACACAATCGTCGATTCAGATTGATAGATTAGATACTTATTGCTTAGGTTGGTGGTCGACTGTGAGCTCATCCATCAGGTTTAGTATTTTTTTTCCCAACTATTTTACTGGAATAGGTTTTTCTAGATTCACTAACTGGAACTAGTAGGTGAGTTCACGGGGCTCAAACCGGGAGTATTGCTAACACTGGTCCTAGCAAGAGCAGTGGTTCACAGAATCTACCACCGGATCGGAATCATGACCCACTGAGAAGATCCGGAGAGAAACCCAGTAGGCTGTGTCTATGCGTTAATTTATTCGTCGAGCCCTTCGTCGCAAGCGACGGATTCGACGAGGACGGTGACCGGGTTTTAGCATTGGAGAAGGAAGTCGGAGTCGTATAACTTTTTCTCCTATTTGATTGTCAGTAAGATATTACGAATGTAAGGATCAATTGGCCTAAAACCAATTCCAACTGACATTAAGTTCGTACCGTACTTTTTAGGGCCTTTGAAAGTAGGCGAACTTATTGCCCGTCTGACGGTGAGTGGTCCCTGAAGTTCGGCAATGCCAAGGGAACCGTTAAGCCTATTGCTTAGGACTATTTGTTCCTTTTATTATCCTGTTACACTGGACAATAATGAGTAGGTTTATTACTGATGGTAGGACGTCTTGTGAGTCCGCACGGGTAGATATCATCACCCTGCCTATTTCTGCCGTGAAGCAAGCAATAATGCGTTTCGCTTTGAAGGGTTGATATTTCGTTAACATTCAAAATACTTTTGTGGACAATGAAGTCTCCCATTCCCGTTGCTCGAACGCTTTTCAGTTGCAGATCCAAACTGAAAGACAGCGGGTATTGTTACAAAGATCTTTTGTTTTAAAGTATACATTTAGTTCGAAATGTACATTTAATAAACACACATACAATTGATCGTTTATGGAATAATATGTAATCTGAAAAAGCTTACTTTAGTTTTTTCGTTGTTGGATAGCCACGTAATTTTGTTGGATAGCCACCGCTCTGACTATTTCTGCCGTGAAGCAGTAATGGGTTTCGGCTTGAAGGGTTGGACAGCCGTTGTAACTATACTGAGACCTTAGGACTCATACCTAAAGGTGGGTGGCGGCATTTACGTTGTAGATGTCTATGGGCTCTGGTAACCATTCAATACCATGTGGGTGGGCTGTGAGCTCGTCCACCCAACTATAAATAAATAAAAACATATATGTGAATATTGTTTGGGTTAAGCTGGCAGACTGTTGCTATTTCGGCACAGAGAACGGTTTTCTTAAGCTGCGATTCCGCAACGAAGATATAGGGCAAACAGCAAAGACAAATATAGTCATTGAATGCTGGCTCGCTTTGGTTGGCGTTTTATATATTTTTTCCATGGAAAAATCACGTACGTGGTACAAAATAATTCTCATGACATAAAATATTGAAACGAAACTCAGACTACGTAGAGCCTGCATGTCCTGACGAGGACATGTTTCAAGAAAACTTGACTAGGTAATGAACGATTTCCCAAACGCTTTAAATTTGGGAATATGTATAGTATTTTTGTCATTCGTAATTATTATTATTATTATTTTTTTCAGGAGGGAATCGCCGGACTCCCGCCCTCCACTGGGGATGGAGGGTGGGGTATGTCAGAGTCGAACTGACTAAAACCGAGTTAAAATACTAAAAATGAAAAATAGCAGTTTTGCGGAAATAGTATAATTGAAAGAAAGCCTTAAAACTACTTTGTATTAAAAACAACTGTAGTAAAGTCGTTTCATAATCGGGGATGCCAATTTGAAGGTGGAAATCTTCCTTAAGCGTCGGCAAGAAGGAAACTTATAAATGAGACTTGATTCACTTTTGACTGTTTAGTATTTTCTGCGGTCGTCTGCGAAATCACGTTGCCACCCATCTTGGGAAATAAGGTCGAAGTTTCAATTGTGTTGTATTAAGACTAGCCCATCCTTCAAATCAGAACGCATGACTGATTCGTGATAGACATAGACGGGACATCTACCACCAACCTACACGTGCAGACAATACACCCTCTCTACCACTAGTAAAGTGCAGTTGACGATCGCATTACACTTGGATATTAGTCAGAGAACGCCACCGCATTGCCCATTCTCCGGTTAATTGCTTACTCGTCTTTAACGCCACCCACAGCACTTTACAATATCGCTTTGTAAAGTTACTATGAAATATACAAGAAACGATTGGAAAGTGTCCAGAAACGGTTTCTATGGTACTTATCTTACAACTACAATCTGGGTAGGAAGTTACCCAGCTATGAAGATAGACTTTGCCACTTTAATTTAGACTCTCTTCTAAACCGGAGAAAACTAATGGGGGTATATTTCTGTACAAACTAATTCATGGAATAACCGACACACCTAATCTATTAGCCCAGATAAAAATATCAGCCCCTAAGTACCTACCAAGAACGAAGAAATATAAACCGTTTATAAGAAAGCCCGCTCGTTCGAATTTAGGTGCTTACTCTCCCTTAAACAGAATCCTTTGGGACTACAATAATGTCCACGGTAGCGCGGTCTCCGTCAATGTTCCTTCGGAGTTGTCCGATTGCGCTGAACTTATTTTAAGTGAAATAGATGTTTTTTCAAATTGTCTCACTACTTACAGGAAAAATCTGTCGCGGATCATCTCCCAATTAAATTAATCTTAAGCAATGAATGAAATGTATCCAATTCTTAGCTGTATATTTTATTTTTATTTTTGATGTTAATGCAATGTCGATTGCACCTATAATTGAGGTGACATCTGCCATGAACTTTTGTCAATTTGTCAATGTTTTGTATTGATGATCACTTTGTTGGTGCAACTTATTAAATAAATAAATAAATAAAGTTTCTAATAGTGATTTAATATTGCTCTTCATTACGCCCGGTTGCATTTAATTGTCCAGTATTGCAATTCTAAAATTGACGTCGAGTTTGTATTTTCATCAGAATCTGTTACTAGAAGTGCCTCAGACAAACTAAAAGCAATTGTTGTAAAAGCCCATGATTTAATTTTGTTTTGTTAACTTCGTCAAGATGGTACGTTCGTAGGAGTATGATACCTCGTCCCACTTAGCTGACTAGATAGTTTTAGTAATAATCGGGGCGGGGTATTTTTATTCCCCTCATCATCATTTTTTTTAGTATGGGACATTTGATATGATGCAGTCTACCACACCAAACACTAGTTTGGTATCACCATCCTCTCTATTTCTGCTGAGTAGAAGTCATTCGTTCGTGTTGGTGGTTGCGACAGTCGTAATATTATGAAGACTAATCGTGGACTGATTATAATTGAATGGTCCTTGAGTTCATTCACCGTAACAGATATTCCTAAGTTATTACTTCCGGGATTATTACTCTTATTCAAGTGCCATCTTCTAACCACTCTAGAGACACTTTAGTTTTTGCATGCGATATGTTTGTATCCTACTCGGGCCTAATAGTTGTGACAGCTTCCACGTATCAAAAAAAAGTCTTTATTCAAGCAAGTCCTTTCACGCGTCTTCAAATCGTTATAACTTTTAAGATATTTAAGGTATCAATTTTCCTAACCTATCATGCTTAGAGATACAGCTAAGAATTGGCCAGTTGTTATGACTACATTAAAACCTTACTTGTAGAAGGACATTTCATAGTGCTTTGAATAAACCGCTGAGTACATGTAGAACACATAGAGAGAATAATTCTGTAAATCAGCGCAGTAGTTCCAGAACATAGCGACGGACTCAGCTCCGGGTGTCACGGTAAAAAAATTACGGGATCATTTCAACCAATTCTTTAATGGAAGATAAGTAAAACAGAACATAAAGAACAAATCTTTTTATTGGGCGAACTCAAAATCATTTAGGTAGTAACATAGCCAGGTAATGCCAGGTGTTTAGACCATCCAAGAACGAATTTAGGATTCTCACTAGAGCTCCGTTAGCGACCTTTGCAATAGCTCCGCGAAAACGATTCACGTAGTCGATGATTACTTCCTCGACAAGTGCGTTCACAATATTGTCAATGTCTCCTCCGCCAACAGCGCCATCCAAGTTTGACTGAAAATTTTATAAAGACGTAAACAGTACTAAGTTTTTGTATAACAATGGAGCTTCGATCATAAGAGATTACGAAACTGGTCCTCTCAAATCTCTAAAGCCAGTTTTTTTTTTATTACTTAGATTGGTGGACGAGCTCACAGCCCACCTATATTAAGTGGTTACTGGAGCCCATAGACATCTACAACGTAAATGCACCATCCACCTCGAGATATAAGTTCTAAGGTCTCAGTATAGTTACAACGGCTACCCCACCCTTCGAACCGAAACGCATTACTGCTTTACGGTGGAAATAGGCGGTGTGGTGGTACCTACCCGTGCGGACTCCCAAGAGGTCCTACCACCAGTGATTACGCAAATTATAATTTTGCGCGTTTGATTTTTATTACACGATGTTATTCCTTCGCCGTGGAAGTCAATCGTGAACATTTGTTGAGTAAGTATTTCATTAGAAAAATTGGTACCCGCCTGCGGGATTCGAACACCGGTGCATCGCTACACACGAATGCACCGAACGTCTTATCCTTTTAGGCCACGACGACTACTGGCCACGTTTTCCTGAGGTGTTTGTGTTGTTGCTATTTAGATTAGAAAACTAGTGCTTCAAAACATCGCATGTAGTAGTAGTAGTAGTAGTAGTAGAAAGTAAAAGTTCAAATGGATGATTGATTTATGATTACAAAATCAATTTTTTGATGGTGTAAACTTGGCACAAACGTTTTCTATTTGGGCGCAGAGTTTGAGCTACATAATATGTTTTTTAGATTAATTACAGTGCTATATTTAGGTATATTATATATCTAGTGTATTGCGAATTTCATAATGGGTAAATCAACATCAAACAAAAACCTTATCTTAAATTTTGAACGTCAATGGAATTTCTTGTTTGGAGGAGGCTTTATCAAAAACACGTGCTTATGAGTGGTACAAAACGTTCAAAAGCGGTCGAGCGGTCACGGTCACAATGTGAGAGAATTTTGCTAACACTAGCCCTAACAAGAGTAGTGCTTCGGAGAGTCTACCACTGGATCGGAATCGCGACCCACTAAGAGGATCCGGCGAGAATCAGTGGGCTGTGTCTATGGGTTGGTTCGCTCGTCTAACTCTTCGTCATAATCGACAAGTTCGACGAGAACGGTGACCGGTTCTTGAAAGGCCTAAAAACACTGAGAGTGAATTCGGGGGATCAGAAAAGACGTGTTTCGGGCGATGTCGGCTTTGCGTTGGGGCAACCCGGTCAGATAAATAATTAATTAGTCAACAAGCTTCGGAGTGGCGCATTACATTTGACCGGTAACGGAAAGAGCCACGCCAAAATCGATCAAAAGTCAGTCATGTTGACTGTTTTTTTTTCTATTCCGGTATTCTGCAATCGGAATTCTTACCGGGAGGTCAAACGTAAATAAAGGATATTATTTGAGGGCTATGCCGCATTTGTGAGAGCAAAATCGACGAAAAGGGCCAGGTTCGCGCAATGAAAATACTTAGAATTTGCACCACGATAATGCGCCTTCGCATAAAGTGAACAAATTTTAACTAAAAATTTAAATAAATAATTTATTTATTTTTCCTAAACTTAAATTACCACTTCGGACACCCGTTCTCATATTTGGTAGAAGACATAATAATATATAAGAGAATTCGCGGCGATAATTGAACTTAATTCCGGAAAAAGGGTTTAAGCATGTTTTGATGATTGGATTATTGGTTGGCATAATTGTACCGTTTTTGAAGGGCCATAATGTAAAGGTAATGAAATAAATATGGATGAATTACGAATAATAATCAACTACGACATTGTGTATTATTGATATTTTGCCAGTACTTTCTTAACAGAGTAGTATGTATTCAAGAGTGACAATTTTCGATAGGATCAATAGATCGTACGTCAAATAAAAAAAAAAATGGGTCATAAATGTATGGCAATTGATTTTAAGTTTACCTTGAATCCTGGGATGACAAACGTCAGATTTTCAATTCGTTCGATAAGGATAGATTTCTCGTCCTCAGATTGTTTCAAGAATAGTTTTGCGCTAAATCTGAATCCTTCAATATGGAATCTGAATAAAAAGGAAAATGTTTTAAAAATGGCATAATCATTATTACACTATGATAATAATATGTATTTAAGTCGTCGTGGCCTAAAGGATAAAGCACCCGGTGTATTCGTATCGACCGATATGACTGTGATATGAATCTGTGCCGGTGTTAAAATTCCACAATAAAAAAAAACAAGTCTCTTAAAATTATTATACTGTTATTCAAAGGAAAAACGACAAAAAATAATATAATCTATCTATCTATCTATATATATAAAAATGAATTTCTGTTCTTTAGTCTCGCTAAAACTCGAGAACGGCTGGACCGATTTGGCTAATTTTGATCTTGAATTATTTGCGGAAGTCCAGAGAAGGTTTAAAAGGTAAATAAATATGAAAATGCTCGGAATTAAATAAAAATAACAAATTTGTTTTTCCTTTGATGTGTGAGGAAACAAGCCTTTCAAAACGATTTCGGATTTAAAGTCTTTTACTTTAAAATATTATTATTTTTATATTGTATATTACATTTATATTATATTTACTGCTCGTGATGAAGGAAAATTGTATGGTCACTTATATTTCTATCCTTAAGATAATATATATATTTTTTTTAAATAGTATTTTGACTCACACGGCACCACCCTTTCCATACAGAGGAATAGCGGCGAAGAAGTCACCAAGCAGGTCATATTCTTCTGTAAAATAGTAATGTTATAATAATTCACAACTTTATTTCTATTTGAATGTTAAAAAGAAGTGCTGGTTGGCTCGGAGACCGCTGTCATCATTCTACTTGCCATCAGTTTTCAAAAAGAACAGGCATTAAATTGGTTTATAGTTCTGAATTCGTAAAACGAATGCTTCTTGTTTTGTATGTTTCAGGAGTCCTATACAATAACGTGTTTCTCTGATACTAGATATTTGACATTTATTAGCTAAATACCTAGAAGTTAAGTATATTTAACGTTGATTTCTGTAACTAAGCAGAAATCTAATAAAATATTTTAAATAACATTCGTGATCAGAAGTATTCGTATCACAAATTAATTAAGTAAGGAAATAATAACAGTTCGAATTTCCTTTTACTTACCAGCACTGATTTCGAGTGTTGGCACAGAAATGTCCACATCGAAGGATATTTCGTTAACATTCAAAATACTTTTGTGGACAACGAAGTCTCCCACTCCCGTTGCTTGAGCGTTTTTCAGTTGCAGATCCAAACTGAAAGACAGCGGGTATTGTTACTAAGATCCTTTTGTTTTAAAGTATACATTTAGTTCGAAATGTACATTTGATAAACATACATACAATTGATCGTTTATGGAATAATATGTATTCTGAAAAAGGTTACTTTAGTTTTTTGTTGTTGGAGAGCCAGATTCTTACGTAAACTACGTAAAATACCACCGCCCTGACTATTTCTGCCGTGAAGCAGTAATGCGTTTCGGCTTGAAGGGTTGGGCAGCCGTTGTAACTATACTGAGATCTTAGAACTTATATCTCAAGGTGGGTGGCGTATTTACGTTGTAGATGTCTATGGGCTCCGGTAACCACTTAACACCAGGTGGGCTGCGAGCTCGTCTACCCATCTAGCAATTAAAAAAAAGACTATAAAATAAAACAAATAAATCGGCAAATAATATTAAATGGGTAAATGTTAACCATTATATTTAGCAGAAGTCGGCGGTTTGACTGTGACGCTGCGACTGATATCCATCAGCGACGGTAACCATTATTGTCAGACGGGCTGTATGCCTACATACGAGTAAAAAACGATCAATGGATTATCTATCTATCTATATAAGAATAAAGATGTTGGCAATATATGGATAAGGTGTTGTTAACAAAATATAACATTAACGTCATACTTTGTTAAGGGTGTTGGCAAAATATGGATAAGGCGTTGACAAAATATTACATTAACATACTTTATGATTTCTGCAGGAATAGTGATATGCGTGCTCTCAATCACAAGAGGATCAAGTACGGGAACTCCTTTCTCTTCCCATCCTTCTAAAATTATAGAGCGAAGACGTTGGAAGAGCGTCGTTATGATAGCATTGATGAGAATGTTGCGATTTCCAGTAGCTTGAAATCTTTCGAACTCCTCTGCAATTCAAAGATATTGTTTACTATTATAGAAAACAGTATATCTTATATACGACAATCCAGTGCTTTTTTTAATTCTATTAAGGCGGAGGACCGCATTCTGTGGAAGGCATTGGAGAAGGCCTATGTCAAGTAGTGGGCAGATAAAGGCTGATGATGGTGTTGATGATGATGAACAAGATATGCCAATAAATAAATGTTATTTCGTCTAATAAGACAAAATAAAATTTCTCAGCATTGAAAGCATTTCTATTGAAAGAGAAATTTATTATGCTTGGAATGGTAAATCCTGAATAATGGGCCGTTAGCGCCCTACATCGATGCTTCAAGCTCGATACTCTAGTCAGCCTCGTTTGAAGAAATATACAGAAAATTCTCTTTATTAGCGGGGTATACGTTCCGTGAATAAGCTGCGAATACAGAAATCGTGGATATCGAAAAGCACGTTTACAATGGATATTCGGTTGGATACATACATACATATTGGAATTCTTTTTATCAATGTGTATGTAGCGATGTACCGATTAGATCCGTGAATAAAGAAATATTTAGCAGCGAACATAGGAATTGGGTCGTATTTTTTAATCCGCGTATAGTGAAAATTTGAATGAAGGAAGCGCGATTAAGGAGCTTAGCCCAGAATTTCTCGCTGGATTTTCTCAGTGGGTCGCGATTCCGATCCGGTTGTAGATTCTGCAAAGCACTACTCTTGCTAGGGCTAGTGTTAGCAAATTCTCTCAGGTTGAGCCCGTGAGCTCAAATACCTGTCCGGGCGTAACTGGAATAGCCTCTTAGGCTACCAGGGAATAGGTAGGGAAAATGCTCTTTATCTATATATTAAGACGTGTAAAGAGTTTTCACTGTATAGTGTGTAGGGGAATTCATTCCAAAGCCGAATGGTAGGTGGCAAAGAAGATCTCTGGATACGCACTGTAGATGAACGTAATGGGTTTAGATATTATGAATGCAATTTGCTCCGGTGGCAGGTGATGACGGAATCATTTCAAACAATTCCTCAGGGCACTTCCCATGGAACTTACGGTACAGAACACACAGATAACTGAATAAGGAAGTATTCAAACGAATGAATTTATTACCTATGGCAAAAGCATCTCTGTTGGCTTTAGGGGCTGCTGCTGCAACGGCACACAGCGCCAAAAGAATAACCAATTTCATACTGAAATAAAAATTAAATATAGATCGTCTAAAATGTTTTAAAATTCACATTTTTTATCATTAAACCAATTTTGTATTTGTAATCACAGTTGATTACCAACAATTTTGTAATAACGACGATGGTTTAATACTTTCTGATTGCAATATAACAATGTATAGATCATTGATAACCACATACCAGCAATATTATTCATCACATTGTTATTGCTTTTCATTAAAATTGTATTATGTTAGGGACACAAAAAAAATATTAAAAATAATAGACCAATTTTACATAAGCACAAAAACAAAATTCCGTATTGAAATGTCGAAAGAAAACCGAAAAACAATAAAATAATTTGTATAAAATTATATAAGCTCATTTCCATTTTACGTTTTCAATGGAATTTAAAACTATCTGTGAATTGAAAAATAATTTAATTACAATAAAATTGATTTCAATCAGAATGCACTTTGTTATTATAATTACAGGTATGTATAAAAAACATAAAATACCTAAATTTTTTGTAACTTTTCAAATAATCCCTCACTTCGTGGTACAATACACACTCCACTAACTGTACCGATTCGCTCCTCTGAGCCACTTTTATAATTTAAAAACTGTTATCTATCGATTATTAATCTTTACAATACATTTTTGACATGAAAATTAAATTTTAACTATATTACATCGATACAAAGGGACTTTGTTAATCACGACACTACGTTATCGAACAGTGTCAAGCTGATGCTTCATTTGAATGTCGACAGTATGTAAAAGCGATCTTTGCTTTATAACTAAAGAAATACAAATCAATTTGCTTTAACTTCTTTAAATGAAATGTCCTAATTGGCTTTTTTATTACGAAGCTGGGCCATCGAGGTGACTGCCGTCTTCCGTGACGTAAGTAACGACTGTTCCACCCTTCAAACAGGAGTTCATAATTGCATCGAGGTCGTCGGCAGATCGACTCTACAGCGTTCTTTCTGGGTGGCGGTGCTATAGGCTGCCCAGGTGGTGCCGCTGATGGTTTCGGATACCCCGCTGGACCATAGCTAGGCTGCCGGGTTGGAACGCGATACGCCGTCAGCCGGTCACGCTTTATAGATGTCAACTTTGCTGTGCGCTAGATAGAGTACTGGTAGTGTGCTGCGCTACCTCGACGCCTCCGGTCGCCCTGAGCCGTCACAAGGGGTTATCGCCTCCTACTGCTACAATAATAAAATAACAACAAAAAAGCCCTTTATTCCATGCAATTACAATTTTTTTTAGTATATATTTTGTTATATGCATGGAACCCTCCAAAGATTTCCATTTTGTTTTGTCTCTGGCGACATAAACCCAGTGTGGTCCAGTAACTTTTCTGCTGCTACAATACATACAACCAATTAATTTCTAAAGTTTACATGTTCACTTTTTGAAACTAAATTAAATATAAAATCTTCTCTGTTGCCACCAGAAGTTTCAGTTGTATTATAAGAACGGAATTTTATTATTTTTGCTCCGTAACAGAAATAAACAGGATGGTATTTACGACTCCTGGCCGCTTATGGTTTGGCGGTTAAATTTTAATTACACGATTTTAATCATTCAGCATTGACTACTGTCAAGTCACGTGTAATAAAAATCAAACCCGCAAAATTATAATTTGCGTAATTACTGGTGGTAGGACCTCTTGTGAGTCCGCACGGGTAGGTACCACCGCCCCGCTTATTTCTGCCGTGAAGCAGTAATGCGTTTGGGTTTGAAGGGTGGGGCATCCGTTGTGATCATACTGAGACCTTAGAACTTATATCTCAAGGTGTGTGGCGCATTTACGTAGTAGATGTCTATGGGCTCACGTAGCCACTTAACACCAGGTGGGCTGTGAGCCCGTCCACACGTCTAAGCAATAAAAAAAAAGTCACGTGTTTTCTGCTGGTAGAACGCATTATTAACCTACCCGTGCGGGTAGGTACCAACCACCGCCCTGTATGTTGCTGCGACGAAGCATTCCAACGTTTAATTCCAAAAGTTTAATTAAGTAAAATTAGTAAAATTATTATCACGAGAAATTACGGATCTATGTAAAATGGTTTGCCGGAATGAATGTCCGATAACAATGATTGATGTTTTTTTTAATTGCCTAAGGATTGTTCAACATTTAACATTCGGAATTTTTTATTATTAATGGATACTATTAATGGGTGATGGTAATTAAGTTCTCTATAAATTAATAAAATCAAAGTTTGGAGAGCTGTGATACTAAATAATTGAGAGTTGGACCTCGTATCACTAAGTGCCTTATGGCAGTATAGCACTTTGTGATAGTGTTTATGTCTTTCTTCAAACGAGACTTGTAGAGTAATCAGTTTGGCTTTGCCCCTGGCCTTGCTAAATTCTTAGGGCGACGGTAACTACTCACCATCGGGTGAGTCGTAAAGTCTGCCCATGAGGGCAATAAAAAAGTCTTACGTACGTCTTTGTTTAGTGTCGTTAATGCGATTTAGGCACATGTCCAGTATCTTGTGTACCATGATAGATTTGTATAGGGACAAATCTATTTAAATAACTACAATCATTGTTATACGCTTTTTTCTTGATTTTTAGTAGGATAAATTGGCAGAGGGGACTTTGTTGTCCATGGAAATAATAAAAACATGGACTATGCCGCCAAACTCGGGAAATGAGATCGAAGTTTCGTTAATATTGGAATAGCTTCTCTATTTATAGCTATGTGCTGCTCTATGAATTCGCAGGCAGCCCCAGCTGCAAAGGAACTAACCTCTGGCTGAGTTTTTCGATAATGATTCATTAAATATCATTCGTAATCCTAACTAGGTACCTAACTAGGTGCTAACCTGTAGCTGACTTTCTCGATATCAATTCATTAAATCATGGATGAATGGGATATGGGGATCTAGGGATAATAGGGATCATGAATGATAGATATCATTCATGATCCTAACTAGGAACCTAACTAGGTACCTAACTAGGAACCTAATTAGGTACCTAACTAGGAACCTAATTAGGTACCTAACTAGGAACTAACCTGCGGTTGAGTTACTCGATACTAATTCATTAAATATCATTCATGGTCCTAACTAGAAACTAGCCTGTGGCCGGGTTTCTTGATACCAATTCATCAAAAATTTTAGTTTATACTATTCTGCAATAACACCTCCTGGTTAGATTATTTTGGAACAGTTCAGAACAGAAATATTTTTGTTATTAATTGCGTGTACGAGTACAATATTATTATTACGAACAGATTACGTTTTTGACCATGAAGGTGTCGTAAATGTTAAAATTATCAAAAAAATGTTTCGAAATTAAGACTTTATTATCTGCGTAAGTATACGATTAGTTTACGTCTATGTCGTCATTTGCGTAACGAACGAGATCTTGGATTATATTAGGATTATTATCTAGGATGAAGGTTTTAAGATACTAAGATATACTTGCCTGCATCAAAACGGGCCCGATCCAAATTAGGGCCTAAATTGTATGTACTACAGATTACGAATAGTCGTTGAACTTTAAATAAATGAAATCAGTGTTTGATTGCATCGTATCGTATCGTAAAGAGCTCGTAAAATCTAATTGAATTAATTTTCCCATGACCACAACAGTTCCACCACAAATGATGCATACCCTTGACACAATTCAGGAAACTAAATGAATTAGATGCATATCTACTATACAACCGACGCTCCCATATGTTCTCTGCTCTTTATAGCATATTGCTTAACGTGTATCCATAACTCAAAGGCCAGACAAGCAATTGTATTCACTGAAAAGGTATCCTGACGTTTGTAGTCGACATATTAGGCGGATATTTAATTTTAACGTTTAGATCAATGACCTGAATTGAGCGGCACTAAATGTATATAGATGCGCGAATGTTATTGCTCACAATTAGTTGTAAGTGGTTTGGTTTTAAAATATAGACTGACAACCAATGTAATGAAAATTTATTTTTGCTGACACGGTTACGTCGTGTATAGAAAAAAGTGTGAAATTAAATTCAATCAAAAATGCTTAGTATAATAGAAGTCACCGTGAAATATTTGTAGACATAAATATTAATTAGATTCTGCTTTAAAGCAGACTGGTCTTAAGACCAGTAGCTGTTCGGACGCAAGAGGTAAGATTTATTGTGTCATATAATTTATTACATTTGAAGTCATGCGACGCTAAGCCAGATGTCAAAACTCCCATGATAACTAAATAGCTACCAACAGAATATTAATTAATGGCGCGTTGAAAGCCGGCTTCGTGGTGATAAATCAATTGTGTGCTTGGACAATATATTTTTTTCAGTCAACAAACAATTTTGTCGTTGATACCACAATCTGGAACTGGAGTGTTCAAAATAGGTCAGTGATTGTGATTATTAATAGTGCATGTCGAAAGAAAAACCAAGAACCATAACCAAGTATTTCGACCAACATTTGATTGATATCTGTCTTGCGCCCGTGTGTTTGTGTGACAAAACGGATGCCATTCATTCTGTTTCCATAATTTGTTTTAAATACAGTGTCTTTAGTTTAATCGATTGCTGATTAAACTAAAGACAGTTTTATTCTCTTTCTTGACAATTCACTTTTGACAATTCAACCGCACATTGTTACTGTACGTAGTGATAATTTTACCGTACGTAAAATAATGTCTATGTTAGTAGACAGTGTGTGCATTTATAGAATACTATGAAATAATTGGCGCATAAATTCACACAATTTGTTGCTATTATTTACTTCGCAACGTCGCGTTGGAAACGTACCTACTTCGAATTGGTGCCTTGCAATCGCCAGGGGCGAAGTACCGCAGAAGTTGATAAAATTGTAAGACTTCGAGAATACTTTACATTACATTACATTACATACATTACATACTTACAATACATTTTTAAACAACTATGTATAAAAAAAATATTGATATATCAAGTAGTAATAATCTTTGGCTATCCACGATTGTGATTTTTTAAGAGTTTTTGAATAAGTCGAATATATTAGTATGTAAAATTTTGTGACAAACAATGTTTTATCGATGCTAGTCATTACTGACCCAATCAACGACTTTTCATCAGGTTAAGGTTATTTATAGCAAGATTTAATTATTTCAGTTAGTTCCGTAGAACACAAAAGTGGACATGACCACATACTTCCTTTTTCATAAAAAAAGTCGTTTTACGTCTGTCAGCCATTTCGAGAGTTTCCGTTGTGGTTTTTTGGAGTTTACGACATTCTGTTTTTGTTATAAAATGGGTTTTATATAAAAATGAGTCACGCCCGCTTCTCTGGCAGATTTGTGATTTGACTTAGTATCGATCGTTATCAACTTTCAGTGATCGCCCGCCATGCCATTCTGAAGATTTCTTGAAAACTTCATCGGTTGACATCTATTTTTTTATTTCTCCACCTCAGCTATTTCTCCAACCCATATATTTCCCACCTGATAGTCACTATAAAAGATATTACGACGTAGGTCGTGCCACCCACCTTGAAACATGAGTTCAAAGTCTGAATTGCATTGTACACTAGCTGTCCCTTCTAAATAAACTGAAGTCTATATCTAGGTCCATGTCTGGGTCTATATTTTGACTTTCTATTCATATACTTGTCACCCGCACGATTATACTACATCACTAAAAAGCGGTTCGATTAATTAAGAGAATAAGAATGGAACTGCGGTGCTGAGGAGTTTGGACATCAGAACCGTATGATAGGCCACCGCACATTGTAGGGTATTTTATTTTTATAAAACTTTTCTTTCTCCTGATTTTCTTGGATAGTAGTCATCGTAATCTGGGTTGATTAATTCATTCGTTTACCTCAATAATGTTTGATATTTTTTACAGTTCCATGTGTTTAATAGCATACATGTACATGTCTATTTACGTATTGGTCAATTTACCTTGGTTTATTCTAAACTTTATGCAATAGGTAAAGTATAGAACTACTTTTTTATTTTTTTTTATTGCTTAATGGATGGACGAGCTCACAGCCCACCTGGTGTTAAGTGGTTACTGGAGCCCATAGACATCTACAACGTAAATGCGCCACCCATCTCGAGATATAAGTTCTAAGGTCTCAGTATAGTTACAACGGCTACCCCTACCCTTCGAACCGCAACGCATTACTGCTTCACGGCAGAAATAGGCGGGGTGGTGGTACCTACCCGTGCGGACTCCCAAGAGGTCCTACCACCAGTGATAAATTTAATATGTTAAAAAATTTCAATATGTTATAGGTTAAAGAACTCTAAATTGTTGTACCTTTTTCGAGACTAAATTAGTAGTTGTAAGTAGGTGCTAAGAGCTTACATTGAATTTGTGTCTGCTTTCAATTGATATCGCCATTTGCCCAGTTTAACTATTTTCGTCGATGTCCGGATTCTGCCCTATATCACTAATACAATTTTAACCGACTACTGAGTAAAGGCGGAATCTTGTTTAGAGTTCTGATGGACATTTAAATATAAACGGATAAACAAAGTTTTAACTTCCTTGACAACTAGAATATTTTTTGTTTTTTATTAATTTTTAAATTCTTTTTTTTTTCAATGCATTTTTGCAATATCATGCTGAAACCCAAGGAGGGTTTATGTGAGGCAGGTGGCCAGTCGTAAACACATGTCGATCCCTATTAAGCGTGATAAGAAGATATGCTGCGACGACCCAACATAATGTGGCATAAGGGAAAGAATAATATTTAATAACAATTTCTATAGTACTTTTTTATTTTTTATTGCCTTGCAGGCAGACGAGCAAACGGCCCACCTGATGGTGTGTGGTTACCGTCGCCCATGGACTTCAGCAATGCCAGGGGCAGAGCCAAGCCGCTGCCCACTTGTGTATTTGATTACATAATTCATCTTTTTTTTATTATGACTGCTTTTCTTTTCTGTATTTGTACATTATAATTTAAATATACTACATACTATATAATATAATGTACTTATTAACTATTTATTATTATTATCCTCTTAAAATAAAACGGGATTTTTCATTCAAGCGTAAACACCATACATGTTTCACATCCATTGATCTCTTGTTAGTAGCTACGTGTACTTGCTATTTATTCCCTAGTGAGTGAGCTTACCTCGCTCAGTGCAGACTGGCCCGTGCCTTAGATACATATGTGCCAATTACGAAAGAACAAGACCATAAATTCAGTTTTAAAATAAAATAAATGAAAATTTAAAAAGCTTTTAAAGGTCTTCTTACGATTTAAGAAATTTATATTTAATATACTTTACAATGTGGCGTAGACTTATTGTTATGGGTGTTTTTTTCTACAATATCGCGTCCCGTGTCACAACTGCTCCTGTTTATCATCCAGGTAGATAATTATTTTATATATAATAGTTGTATTTCCTTTAAAACTCAAATAAATAGTATTTGTACGTCTATTCGCTTTTTTGCATTCAGGATTCGTTTAACTAATAATTGAGTTTCAAATCCTGCAGTTGCTCGCAGTTCAAAAAGGCTTTGTAGTAATATCTGCAATCATTACTTATAACTATACAATAAGCAGGTGAGGGAAAAGACTGTGACTTACAGATGCCCTTATCCAGTGGCAGAGTGTCTTTGTTTAGCAGGATCCAACTCTTTCATCCAGATTTAAAATCTTTGCTCTTTTTAAGCGTTGATCTAGAGGTGGGCTAAGTAGTTTCGAGGATAGCTTATTTGGATGTTTTGACAATCGAGATTATATCTGGTGTAAGCATTAGCTATTTCTTCGTTTATGATAAAAGTTTCTGCAAGCTGGCTTGTGGTACTTTACGGTAAGCAGCAGGTTGGCTCTGCACCTGGCATTGCTGACGCCCATGGGCGACGTTAACTATTACCATCAGGTGGGCCGTATGCCCGTCTGCCTACAAGGGCGATAAAAAAAAACTCAGCATTGGTTATGAACTAGAGAAGTTTTGGTGGTTGTTTTGAGATCGTATAATTAGATGATAATCTATATGTGAAGCGTGAAAATTGCGTGGACGGAGGAGTATGAAATTTCTCACACTAATAGGGAATATAGAGAAGGAGTGCACAGTGCAATTTTTTTTTTAATAATCCTTAAAAAATATATTAAACAAATAAAGAAAACACTATACACACTAACACGTATTTGACACACACACACACACGCATATAGACCATTATATTTTGTTTATTGTTAAAGTCTGTGGTCAAGTTGAGAATAGATTAATATTGGTTTCTTTAATATGATTTGTCTCTATAGACAAACTATAGGCTACACTATTGTTGCCTTAGTGAAATCTGTGATTAAAGATTTACTTAAAGCCTTTGACAATAGAACCGTAATAATGTTCAAACTTATAATTTAAATTAATAATTATAGTCAAATTTCGACTACCGGGTGAGCGCCGAATCTGAAGGGCTATCTCAAGACATCTGATTACGTATACGTGTTAACACATTAGTTTCTTGTATTGTTTTAAAATTATTGTCTCTAGAATAAGGTTTTCAATTTCGATTTAAAATAACGTGGAAGAAGACTGTTGAATTTCAAACATTGTATCTTAACTAATGCTATAATTCCTAGAGCTATCGTAGGAAAATTATTTCGAATATTTAAATAAAGCAAAGACAATCAATGTAACTTCGCAATCCCAGATGTTTTATTAACATTTACTGGTGGTAGGACCTCTTGTGAGTCCGCGCGGGTGGGTACCACCGCCCTGCCTATTTCTGCCGTGAAGCAGTAATGCGTTTCGGTTTAAAGGGTAGGGCAGCCGTTGTAACTATACTGAGATCTTAGAACTTATATCTCAAGGTGGGTGGCGCATTTACGTTGTAGATGTCCATGGGCTCCAGTAACCACTTAACACCAGGTGGGCTGTGAGCTCGTCCACACATATAAGCAATAAAAAAAATAAAAAACCATTAAATGTTCATGTTCCCTAGAAGAACTTGCAATAGTTACGTTATTTAGGTACATATAATAGTGGCTCTGTATGAATTTAACCCAGTTTTGTCGCCAGTATAGTTGTGTATGCAATTTATTGCTCCGTAAATCTTATTCTCGCGACCCTGAAGATATTTTGTTAAAATAAATTTGACGCCTATATTAAAGTCACGTACTTACTGCATTTTATTGCTGGATTGTAAAGCGTGTGTTTAGAAATCGTTCACAAATGACAAAGCTAATGTTTCCACATACGATAACTAGAAAAATGATTTGAAGAGTACATCTTTTCTCGCCCGTCCACGGAATAAGAATTACAAAAATAAATGTATGTTTAATAATAATAAAAATTAATAATAAATGCACATATTTTTTTGTTGAGTACGAAGCTTTGTATCTATTAATCCGTCTTACAGTTCGCGGTCCCAGCTATACAATCAGTAACTTACCGGTGTCAAATAAGAATCAGCCTTTCATAGAGGTGAAGAATTCAACGTATCACGGCAGCGGTCCCAGAGAAGAAGCCCGTGCGATGTGCTCTGTCAGAACACAAGAGGTCAACGCCACCGCGAATGCCACCATCACTCGGAGATTGCACGGAGTTGCTACATCGAGTAAGAATTTCTTATTATATAGGAGCATCATTCAATGCTAAAAAGCTATTTCGGCTTGGCACCACAACTATTCTTTCGCAAATATCTACTTCCAAAAACATTTTTTTTAATTGCCTAGATGGGTGGACGAGCTCAGAGCCCACCTAGTGTTAAGTGGTTACTGGAGCCCAGAGCTCGTCCACCCATATAATCATTAAAAAAAAAAAAGAGTAAGGCTTCTTGTGAGCGCACACGGGTAGTTAGTTACCTTGCCTATTTCTGCTGTAGTGGGTTCCAGTTTAAAGGACGGGGCAGCTGTTGTACTATAGAATTGAGACTTAAAACTCTTGTCTTAAGGATGATGGTCGGTAAGCACTTGTTACCAGACAGGCCCAGAGAATTTTCAGCTGTTTCAGCTACTTAAACAAAAGGATATATAATTTTTAAGGTCTTTTACAAGTACGTCATTCGAAATTTTGTTTGTCGCACTTTGTCTTATGATTAAAAAGATGATTACCACCCGCGTATAATTACGTCCGTCAGTGCTGATTAAAATCAATGAAAAATAGTATTTTATCAACATTTGCTACGTTTCCTATCTAAGTGTTATATAATTTTACTATTATTCTTATTATTTCTATTTTATAGGAGAACTCCATTTGTCTATTCAACGGCTAGAAGTGATTATATTTGGCCAAATGCAACAGCTATGGCAGAGCTTAGATGCCTTGCGTTTACAACTAGCTGGAGACGTCCGCACCAATGTTCCTGATCGGCGCACATTGACATTTAGATATAGACCGGACATTAAATAATTTCAGTTCAAAATGGATAATAAGATAAATGGTTCTGCACAATCATAAACCAAATTAAAAGAAGACGGGACAATTTAGATATTTCCTCGTTTAGAATTTGTGATTTTCACGTGATCCTAGGTTTTATATAAAATATGTACTACATCCTTCTGTTATTATGTTTTTGTTTGAAATTTAATCTTATTTTAGATTTTTGGAAAGATATTTTATTGTGATATCTATACGTCTGATCATAATCTGGACTTCGGGCATCCGTATCTAATAATTATGGTATTTTTATTTGTATTGTTTGTTTGAAGCAATGAAAATTTATATCATAAATATTCTAAGTGAAATTTAGTAAATAAAATTGGTTAAATATATGAACAACAGGTTCATATATTTATATTAGATTAAAATGAAATACGAAATCTTGGAATATTAGTCATTTTGATTGCCGGCTATTTACCAGGTTAGGAACAACCGGTGATCCCGTCTTAGACAAATTGTGCAGTCAATATATTTTACAAATACAGAATTAGTTGGATCAACGGAGAAATTTTTTGGGATGAAAGGATTGGTTGATGCCCAGAAATCTTTCCAGTTTCACCAGGGCAAGTAGGAGTGAATGAAAGTAGACGAGGTTACGTAAATTCGTCTCTATCTCATGTAGCGCTGGTAATTAATACTTTAGCGCCCTGTAGTAAGCATAGTAAGCCCTCAAAACGGATTAGGTACCTACATGTCTACATATCGTCTTCTCGCATTAAAAATTTTTACAGGAGAGTGTTTTAAAGGTTTAACATGTGATATTTTTAATATTAATCATCTTTGCAACTTTTTTTTTTACCAGTTACAATCTTTTAAAATAAGGTAAAATTATGTATTGATTTTGTTAATAGTAGTCAAAACATAAGTAAACTAAAAAAAAAATTAAAACTAAACTACGCTCTTTTGACAGTATTTATGAGAAAAATACTGGTGATACCAAATGATTCCGCATATTAATTCAATTTCGAATTTTTTTTAGAAACTGTACACTTTTAATGCGAAAAGACGATATGTAATAGGTTCATTGAAAGTGCCGTAACCGGCGCCCATTAATACCACTGCGCTCATGTGACAAGCGAACCTTGGACCATAAATAAGGCCGCCTCGAAGGATACAGATACAAATAACCAAATCTGAATTGGTAATTTTTAAGCGTTCGTCGAAGAAAAAAGTAATCGCTTGATACTTGATCATAGTGCTTTAAATTCTAGTATAAAAGATGGTAACAGAAATAGAAAAAAAAAATTATAGCACTAACTATAGCAACTATGGTACTATTTAATGTTCAGGTAATTCTAAGGTGAGGAAAATAGTACTGGAAAATCGATTCACTGAGTTTTTTTATATGAAACATTTCCAACACCACCGAGACTCGAGAGTTTTTCATTTGAATCAAACGCGTGTACCTTGTTCTTTTGTACTAACGTCACTGATAAGTCAACATTTGCAAAGATATCTATCATAAGATAAACGTAATGATTTTGTAATGTAAATCAAAGTATCTTGGTTTTAAACTACCTCAAATATAACGGGTAAATAAAATAAAACATTTGATTTGTAATAAAAATTAATTTATTAACAATTAGTAACTAGATATACTTTTATGTGGTCAAATTCACTTCACAAAATTATATAGAATTTGAGCACATAAAACAATAAACAGAATAAGTACAATGTATATTAGTTGAAATATTAAGTTAAAATATTTTATACCTAAAAAAGTATTAATAAATTATTAACAAAAAAAAGTATAGATTTCGTTTATTTTTGGAATGCAATACATGTATCATTAAAATGTTTATTAAATTATTCTTGTCCAATAATAATCTTCATCGTTTAATAAATTTATAAAATTTTCTACATCTTTAGAAAGATAGAAAAACACAACAAAAAATATTAAATGCTTATTTAAAAAATTTCGTCGCTTTTTTTCTATTTTGGCATCCTATTTTACAATTTAGAATGTCTAATTATCATGGCCATGTAATTTTGCTATCATTTATTAAAAACAAATTATTTCTGAACTTTAAAATAGTTCCGGAATTATGAGAAACTCTTTCGTCAATAAAATCTATATCGAATAGGTCACCATAAAATATCGGTGTAACTAATCTGTGTATTTAATATGCATTGATCCTTTTATATGTATATATTAACGAGAATGCCATAGACATATATTTGAACATTATCACTTATTGGGTAGATATTAGGAAGTAAACTGAAAAGTTCTTTCTCTAACTGAAATGTTGAAGTGAAGGAAAATCGAACTACAGTATTAACTTAAATATTTTTTTACTAAGTAATATTATGGTATTTTGAGACTATATTGCTGTAAATTGGCGTTGACACATTTTTGTAATAATTCTAATTGGTAAAATAGTATTTACATATGAATATTAGGACGAGCTGCGTATTGGGAAAGCGCTTTCTAATAGATAAAATATTTGAAACATTGTATGGATTATTTGTTTATATTATCGGCTGTTTGTATACATTTTTTTACAGTTGAAATTGTAATATCAGTTTTATCACATTTTCTAAGACTCATGAATTCAAAGAAATGTGTCAACGACTACACAGCAGTGTGAAGACAAATGAAGTGTAGGCGAAACATGTTTTGTTATGTAGTTGTAGCCTGCATGTATCGGCGTAGTTCCTCCTGGGTGTCGAAGATCATGACTGGGAAAGGTGAACCGGGAACATGGCGTCCGGCCCAACGGACTTCAACGCGGTAATCGCCCGGCTCCGTCGGCGAGAACTGAACATTAAATTAAAACTATTATTTTTTATTGTCCTTGTAGAGTGACGAGCATACGACCCACCTAATGGCGAGTGGTTACCGTCACCTATGGAAGTCAGCAATGCCAAGGGCAGAGTCAAGCCGCCGCTATAGTTTGTTGTCGAAATATACCTAATCACAAATTGCGTGATTGCTTGGAATGCTACGGATTCTCTCCTCTCAGAAGAAACACTAAACTATAAAATCCAATCACATGTTTTGAAGTATCTGTCTGCGGAAATGAAATATCGTCACAATCTATATAAATTTATACTGAATTTTATTATAGTACCTATCAACCTTAGAAATGACTGGCCTGTTTTAGTGCAGGTGAAATTTTGACAGAAATATGTTCAATGGATCATATAAATAAATAAATGTATGGACTCTTGAGCATAGATGGAACTGAATGTACGTAGGAAGTAATTTAAAACAGACACCCAACAAAGATAATATTTGCTGTTGATATAAATTTTTTTCTATTTTTTATCGATTTTATTATTTTTATCAAGTTCGATCGATCTGATCAGCCGATCTTTGCGAAAACCGATTACTTTCCAATATTTTTGACAATCCATTATAATTATCACGTATTCATCAAAGAGTATTTTCGATAAATGTAAATTTGAAACGTTATCTGATCTTACTAAGAGGTGGTCTGAGTTAGTCGAATGCGATAATATAATAATTATTAATCGGTATTACATCTTAGTTATTTGGAAAAAAAAAAAAACAAATCATTGTTCGAAAAACAAAAATAATCTTAACTTGATATGGTATCGTTAAATTGGCACACGATCCATTTTGTTTGAAAGTTTTTTTTTTTAATTCGGGATTGAATTAAAAAAATTGGGATTATTGGATGCATTTATTATTGGTGACGGAATCGCAAATTTAAATCACATCACGCATCATCCCTGTTTGCAGGATAAATGACAAATAAACGAATATTTAAAGAGTGATTTCCGTGGTTGTCTTCATGCACGAACGGCGAATTATTCGCACTAAATGAAGCATTAGAGTACCTTGCAGAGTATGGTGCGGTCCTTTTGGCTCTCGCGTTGCATCTCGACTCGGAAGGCACCCTTGGGTCCCCGTACGCGGACGGTGAGCTGCCCGGCGCCGGCTCCGCGCGTGTCGCACACGAACCGCGATTGGAACGACGCCAGCACACCCGGCTCCACGCCTGGGCCGTACACACGGACCTGCCAATGCGATGACTCATGAGTGAGTGCGCTCACTGCCCTTCTGAGGTCATTAACGGAACCCGTAGATATCGTTGCTCATGGTAGAAATAGGTATGGTGGTCGCAGTTATGTTATACATTACTACTTGTAATTTACAATTAAATTAAAACAACAATAAAATAAGTCCAGGCTATATTTATAAACATTAACAAAAGCAAAATATTAACTGTCCCCTTCACACTCATAACCTAGACCGCGCGAGGGAGATGGGCAGACTTTTCATGATGTGCATGCGGCAGTGCGACGTCACGCCGCGCACTTATTCACAAACAGTACACAAGCGCAACGTGTGAATGTGTTGAACGCGAGCTACATAGTAGGCGTAGTGGGGGTGTCAGGTTATTTTCGTTACGGAATTTCTTGATTCAGTCGCCGCGCTCAAGGCTGGCGATAGAAGCTATGCAATAGCTTAAAAAATAATATTGTTTTCAAAATGGAACAATTAAGTCAAGCTTCTATCTAAAATAATGTAGAGTATGAGAGTCTCATCAAGGGACGATTTTTTCTACCTTTGAAGGGTCTGGAGCTCCAGCCACTTTTAGCACAAACGGCGAGCCCGGCACGTGTTCACCAGCGAATTGTATGCTCAGCACGTGTCGTCCAGCCTCCGCCGGTTTCACATTTAGTGTGAACGTACCGTCGCCGTGTTCGTATAGCTCACAGTATGCTACCTGTAGAATTAATTCTATTACCATCAAGCTTCAAGTATGACCAGAATATTTTAAGGAGATATAGGAAGACATTATCTTTAGCAGCTATGAACTATTGGAGTATAGGTCAAAAGTAATAATTGAATTACGGGTGAAAGGTTTAAGCCCATTCGGAATTGAGAGGAAGATTGAGAATTTGAGATTTTTTTTAAATAAAATTCTTATTGTATTTAACGAAAAATTGCCATTAAAAAGCGTCAGTGCGAAACGGTGACGTGATATTCTTGTACGCAAAATGTTACTTAAATCCACCTTTAAGAACTTAAGCTTCATTACAACCAATTTCAATGCTTTTTTCACAAAATAATGTATTTCATCATTATTATTTAGGATGTTACGTTATTCGATTAATTATAGAAGAGTCATCAGACCAACTATTATTATAATTTTTTTTTTGCTTAGATGGGTGGACGAGCTCACAGCCCACCTGGTTTTAAGTGGTTACTGGAGCCCATGGACATCTACAACGTAAATGCGCCACCCACCTTGAGATATAAGTTCTAAGATCTCAATATAGTTACAACGGCTGCCCCACCCTTCAAACCGAAACGCATTACTGTTTCACGGCAGAAATAGGCAGGGCGGTGGTACCTACCCGCGCGGACTCACAAGAGGTCCTACCACCAGTAAAGTAGATAGATAATAAAATAAAATAAATTACCTTGTTAGGTCCAGTACAATGGGCCGTTAGTTCCCCGGGACCTGCTCGTCTGGTATCGATCCAGGATCGGATCTCCCTCCCCACAACACCGCCAGTCAGTCCGGCTCCCGAACATACCACACGTGATGCATCACCACTTTCCGAACCGGTTGCTACGTTCACCGTTAGAGGGCACCCTAAGAATAGAAACGAAATTAAGGAAACCAAAAATTCAAGTAACAAAACATTTTTGGGCGAAATTCTCTATCAAATGTTTTCTGTAGCTCTAGATAGGCAGTTTAGACTTGTCATCGGTTACTAGTGTATCGTAATAGTTGGTTTTATGTTGTTTGTAAGCCGGCAGCGATGTTAATAGCTATTCTACCTAATGTATAGAGTAACCATTTAATATCGATTAGACTGTGAGCACTTTTACCCATCAAAGCAATTAAAACAGGTAACACTATCCTGAAGTGTAGCGTGATTGTGTAAATGCAGTTATTCGGTTTGCGACAAAGCTATCGTGAGTTCCGGTTTAGAAACGTTTAAAATTATCAGGGATCCAATTTTAAAAAAAAAGGATTGTGTGGTTTTATGAAACCATGGTAAAAGTGAAACTTCTTTCACATTATAGACATTTAACTCTGACAAACAACATTTACATTAAACACTGACAAAAACAAACAAAATAGCCTGGAGCACTGGCACGAATGAGTAATAGTCTATACACTACACGGTCAGCTGCTGCGAACTATAGGCGCCGCCATATTGGCCTTGGCTGCTCTGACGAGCGCCTTTCACTGTATCCTTACTCCGCAGCCGACCGTCACGCGACATGCAACACACCTTTGACTAATCTCCCAGCCCACAAAACTCGTAGTTGATGGTCTCCAGGTCGTCTTGGTGTGTAAGTAGCTCTCCACAGTCCAGGCCCGGCGGGCGCGAGCGCGACCGGCACGACGTCACCGTCCGGCGTCAAAAGTGAAGCTTCAGGCGCTCCCGGACCAGCTGCACTACCATCTGTCATAGAAACAAATATTAAATCCGGTTTTTAAAGTAGTATAGTTGCTTTTGTATGGTTCCTCATGTTTATTTTAGTAGAGCTCTGTTATCTGTTTGATACAACCATACGTCGCTGAGGATTCTCGTTAAATTTCAGAAGGATATGTCGTGGCTTTTAGAAGATTTAGTAGAGGGAAACTTATTGAGAAATAACCTCTGGCTTCGTACTCTTTGTTCTTCTTAATTAATTACTCATTGTTATTTTAATATCCTTTAATAGACATAGATGTTTTATGATAGGTAAAAGAACTCATGTTTTAGTGTCTATAGGCTTATGTAACCCAGATACTTCTAAACCACTTAATTTTTGTTCACCTACTTGAGTCAATAAATACTAGTACTAATATGTACTGCCTGTTTTAGCTATGACCATCAATCGAGAGATTGGTCTTCATAACTCTAGGTAGGTACCACCTTGTAATGTCTACGAGCTCCCTTAACTTTGTCACAATAGTAGCCCGTGAACTTTAACGTCTAAAAAGTTAGAATTTTAGACCTATAATGGATATATCTCAAGTTTTTGGTATGGTTAGGGCATGGCGTGGGAGGAGCTAGAACAGACCGCCCAAGACCGATGTAAATGGAAGGATTTGATTCGAGCGCTACACCCCCGCAGAGGGTAATAGGAAAGACAGCAGAGGAAGATGATTAATGAAACTCGTATATCCTAGCGGGTATAATCCTGATAATGATGATCAGTAATTACCGATAGTGAAGACAGCGGGTGTGTGAGGTGCTGCATGTGCCAATCCTCTGCCAGCAAGAGTTACTCTGTCTGCAGTGTTGCCAGATGCGACTAGAGCTTTTCTAGGAGCCCCAGCAACAAGCGCTCCGTTGTAAGAAAGTTCAAACTCTTGTTCTCCGCTGATACCTTCAGCTGCGACGAGAGTGACTACTGATCGTCCGGATACTGTTTCTACACCTGTAAAAGTTAAACAATAATAATATTAAATTTAAGTTTGAGTTAAGTCATCGTGGACGCTAAGACTTCCGGTGCATTCGTATATTGCGATGCACCAGTATTCGAATCCCGTCGACAGGTACTAATTGTTCCAATGAAATACGTACTTAACAAATGTTCACAATTAACTTCCATGGTGAACGAAAAACAGTGTGTAATAAAAGTCAAAACCGTAAAATTATAATTTTGTGTAATTACTGGTGATAGGACGCCTTCCGAGTTCGCACGGGTAGGTACCACCACCCCGCCTATTTCTGCCGTGAAGTAGTAATGCGTTTCGGTTTGAAGGGCGGGGCAGCCGTAGTTAAAAGTGAGACCTTAGAGCTCATGTCTCAAGGTGGGTGGCGGCATTTACGTTATAGGTGTCTATGGGCTGCGGTAACCACTTAACATTAGGTGGGTCGTGAGCTCGTCTACCCAAGTACGCAATAAAAAAATTAAAAAAGAATGCACATAAAGCTCTAAGCCAGTGAGTGATTCTTAAAGTTTGAGTCTAATGAATGCGACATCGAACAAAAACACGGGTTCAAGAAAAATGCATCGTACATCAAGGGTTTCAACTTAAAATATGGAATCTAATAAAGTTTAAAAACCTTAGTGCATACTAGTTGATACTCTGTAGCTACTTTTTTATGGTGGAGACTTTGCTAAGCAGCGTTATAAATTATCATTCAAGATACCAGACTTTTCGGAACTCAGAAAGCAACTGTCTCTCTTATTGAAAAATCTTGTCTTTTCCTCGATTTCACCAATTCAACAATGATAGTGACGCTTTTAAAACAATACATAAAGTATGTGAATGAATGCACTTTATCCAATGTTCATATAATATTCTTTTTTAATACTAGTGATGTTATTTGGTTTCTTATGTGACAACTCACGTTGATGCCTCCCAGCGAGTAAACATTCTAGTGTACCGGGCCCAGCATTGCTCGTGTCTAGGACTAGCTTGGAAGGAGCTCGCACTCGTCCAGAGTTATCAGTTCCCCATCCTCCGACTGGTACTATGGCTGATGTATCTATTACCTGGCCAAAATTAATTTATATGATGTATTGAATTTTTTTGATGAAGACATGCTATTAAATACATTATTTTTTTTAAATATTAATCTGATTTTTATTGCTATAGACGAATTTGCGTTAAGTGGCTTTTGGTGGTTATGTATATTACAAAGTGAATGTCTGCGTCTGGCCTGAAATATGAGGTGGAAGTTACAGCTGCATGAAAATAATGGCTATCAGCCCTTAAAAACAACAAATAGGTAGGTATTGTATCATTGACCTATGGTTATGTTTGGCCATATAATTTATCATATAGTTATGGTCAGAGAAAGTCTTTTTTCTATTAATATAATATGTCAACTAACTTTGACGGAGAACGGACTTCCTGGTAGCGGTCCAGTGGATGTGAATATCCTGACTTCGTACAAACCGACGACCAGAGGGATGTAGGCGCAGAGCCACTCGCGTGGCGCACCCGACAGCACTCTGCACTCTAGCAACCCCGAGTCTGGATTGTCTTCTTTGTCATTTGATAATCTCTCCACCTGGTCATAGCATGGAAAATCATGTCCATAATTATGCGATTATTGCTTAAAGGGTGCATCGTAATTCAAATTACTTTATTAAATATTAATTAAATATTCGTCAAAGTAGTTAAAAGAAATCCATTACATAATTAAATTGATGTTAGGCGTTGTACAAGATTTTTTTTTTTGTATAAGATTTAATATGAACCATTAAAATTAAATCAACTACAAAGTAAACATCACTAGCCGAGGATTTTTTCCTTATGTTACCAATACCGGATATAAATACGAGATTAATTAATTACACATTCTGACCACCAAGTATTTTACGCAGAGCTATTGACTTCGACTAGAAATCGAACCTGTACACTGTTTTACAGTTGTCAAACTCACTAATAACCAAACCGTATCAAATTACCGACGATCATATCCAATGAATTACCTCGACAGTTGGTGACGTATCTTCAGCACAGTGTATAGTGAAGGCCGCTTCCTTGCCGACATGAGCATGCGCAAGTCCGGTACCTGAACATTTGGCGGCAGAACTGCTTCTACCACTTAAAACTCCCAAAGATATTGGACTGCCTAATACTGGAGCACCTGAAATGAAACCTATTGATCAGTTTCATGTCTTTTATTAGCTCTATTTTAGCTCTATGTCACTAAAAGTACTTTCGGTTCAGTTATTATTAATTCAATACTATAAGGAGGTTTTTATCCGCCTTAAGGTTGGATGTACCATAGTAGTCTTAGTTATCTTATACAACGGTAGTCCCACTTTTCAAACGAAAGCGCATGAGTACTTAGGAAGAAAAAACCGGACTGATGATGATGGCTTATCGTCATAGCACGGCCTACTAATTTAAGGCATTTTACACTAGTTTATTTTTTGTGTTAATAATACAGTACCTCCATAGGTGATGTAAATCCTGTAATGTGAGGGTACAGTTGGACGCAATCGGACTCTGTGTGTGTGTCCATCCTCTCGGATGTCAACGGGCAGTCGGATGCGACGCTCACCCATCGCTTCACACACCACGTCTAATTCACCAACTCCCGCGTCCTTTGTTACAACTGAAACGTGGTAAACACAAAGTGAATTCAAAATAACTAAATTGAAAATATTCGTAAAATAAGATCCTAGATACTTTAATGAATAAAACTTACCACTGAAATTGATTGGCGTTTGGGCAACAATATTTCCAGTTGGTAAACCAGAAACTATCACTCTGTTTGGGTCGAAGGACTCGCATGTGTATGGACTCCCGGATACCGGCTTGGATAGATGTAAAACCTCTGAAAAAGAACAGATACTATTGAGTTATATCTAAAACAAGCACATATATTATGCAAAGGTGACGTGGGTACAGTCAACGTCCATCTTGTATTTGAAGTCGAAACAACATGTAATATAGTCCATCGTCTCCCAATCTTACCCTTTAAACAAAAGCGTGAAAGTTTCATGGCAAAATTAGGACAGTAAAGATTACTTACATTTGAGATAAGTATTGTTTTTATTTATTTTAATAGCTTAGGAAATCTAGTGGAACAAATAAGTACAATAGCTGTTGTTTTAATGCAATTAAAAATTCGACTTCTTTATGTCTTGAAGCTATCAGCTCCGATAATTTGTTTAAGGACCAAATGCATTATTAATTACTCTGGGAATAATCGAGTTATCGTACCTTATAACGATTTCATGTGAAAAACTTACCTATAGTACTCTGTCCAACTTCATTAATAGTGAATTCTGCTTGCAACAAGCCAGACTTGGTTTGATAACATCTTACGGGCAGTGCTCGAGAGCCAGGTCCAGAGACGACCACGTCGAATTCCCGAGCAGGTCGACCCAGGGTGTCGATACTGAATGATGCCACTTTATTAACCTGAGCTTGGTATAAACCTAGACCAGAAGCTGCCACCTGTTATGACAATTTTATAAATCAATGCGTGATTTAACTTTTTACATTTTTGAATGATGATTATTCTCTTTAATATAGCGTGATTTTTTACTTTTATATCTACTACTTTAATTTTACTCTGTTATGTACCAATTTACCACTTTCTGAGATAAAACGGTAATGCTCTGGGTTGAAAGCTGAGGTAGGTGAGGTATTACAATCCTATTCGAGACTTGGACTTTCTGTTTCAAAATTAGCTGTGAATTACTTGTGGCGATATTTTAGATGTGAAATGGTGACTACTTAATAATGTGGACAGTGAGGTTAACCCATCTAGAGCTTTACTTTTTTTTTATTGCTTAGATGGGTGGACGAGCTCACAGCCCACCTGGTGTTAAGTGGTTACTGGAGCCCATAGACATTTACAACGTAAATGCGCCACCCACCTTGAGATATAACTTCTAAGGTCTCAGTATAGTTACAACGGCTGCCCCACCCTTCAAACCGAAACGCATTACTGCTTCACGGCAGAAATAGGCAGGGTGGTGGTACCTACCCGTGCGGACTCATATGAGGTCCTACCACCAGTAAGAAGTTTAGTGAATTGTTATTGTGGTAACCTCTTGTCCATGGTGTGGTGGATGCACATCGACGAGTAACGGTTCTCTGTCGATTGGCGCGCCGCTCCACAGCAGCGTCAGGCGGTGAGGGGCTGCACGCGCTGGGTGCCACACGACCTCGTGCCGTGATCCCCCGCGCCGACGCACCGAGTGGGGGACCGTCGCACCGCCGCACGACACACGACCAGACAGTCGACCGGCACCCGCGCCGTGCGTGCTCACTGAAATTTACTCACACTTATGTTGCACTTGTGACATGAGATTGGATATACGTGAATTCAACTGCCTGAGCTTAGGTTGAACAGGCCCATAATGGCGTAACTAATTAATTATGTAATATAAAGCTTTAAGCTTTGAACATTGTCAACTATTTTCTGAAAGCCGCTCTTATTATATCTATTTCGATTTATTAACATTACTCATAATATCAAATATAATTACCGGTCAATATAGCTGGTCGGTGAACCACTGCATCTCCAATTGACAACACCTTTACAGCAGTGGCATCAACAGCCTCGACTTCCGCCACCGGTCCCTTTGCACTTCTGACAACATATCTACCAACACGACTCGCAGGAAACGTTAGAAGACCAGTGTCCTCGAGCTGTGCGTCAGACACACGCACTCCAGTAGGAGATATTACGTCTACGTCTGAAAGGCTCTCGTCGATCTCCACTGTTGCAATTCCACCTACAAATTCAATATTATTGATGAGTTTTTCAACACACATTTCATCATAATCATATTGATAATCAGTAAAATCAAAAATTTCGAAACTTACCAATTTGTACATAAGTGTGTGGTTCGTTGACGCGGCAAATGAATGGACTACCAGGAACTGCTTGTTCATTGAACGTGACTGACACTCGATGAGGCTCTCGAGAAACTGGCACAAAAGTTACATCGTACAGACCACGGGCCACAGCCACTACCTGTAAATGTTGTACATTTTATTAATTTCGATCTTTTTGTGTTTGGAAAAGTAGATGTTCTCGGCTAAATAATAGCAGAAAATTCTCATATTAATGGCGTGGTTCATATTATATCCAAAATCTAAAAGATTGTCGGGGATACAATGAAAAATTTATAGGGCTCTTATAAGAACATGAATAATACCATTAGCTTAGCGTAACGAGATATTAATTTTTTTAATATTTTCTACTTTAAATAGCACAGTAAAGAATAGTTTTCATACACACCTCAGCCTTCACTGTTGTAGTGGGTGTAGATACCACCAGTTCCAGTGTTCCTTCACCCGCGCCTGCTGCATCCACACTGAATGTCACTGGCTTACCAACTTCTACACCTCTCTCTTCTTCCACACCTTCATCCAAACTCAGCCCTTCTAATGTACCCTCCAGTTCTGAAATCAAATCATTAAATTTATCATTACCTGTCTGAACTATTTTAGTTCATCATGCTTTTGTTTAGTGTGAATCGATTGAGAGAATTTAATAGAAAATTGCCATTGTATGACATCCAACAAAGTTTCTTGTTTCGGATCTATGCGTTCGCACGTATTTAATCAAGGTCAAGTGTTGCGTTGCATATTTACAGAAATTCTTATTCATCACCTAGTAACATCGATGTTCGATAGGTCTGGGGAGTGAATGTGAAATGGCAGAGAAGCGGAAAAAGCATTCATTTTCCGTAAACCACTTAAATTTATGTGATTAGAATAAAGGATATATAGTAATTTCACGTAGAGATACAAAATATCTTAGCTCTTTTTATGGCCATTGTTCGTGCTATAAGTTGGAACTCACCTCCAGGTCCAAGGCCGGTGACTCTGACGCGGCGTACATCATACACGTTGCATGTGAAAGGAGAGCCCGGCACGTGTCGTCCCGCGCACGTCACTTGCACGCTGTGACGTCCGACAGCCTCCGGAGTGTAAGTTGCTGTATAGCGACCATCACCTAATGGCGTTACACGGGTTCGTACGTTGGTCCCACCCGGGCCGGTCACGTAAATTGTGGGCTCAGCTGCTGTTTAAAAAAAAAAGGTTCCATAAAAGAAACAGCCTTAAGTTATCTGATGTTAAATGGTTACCGGATACCATAGATGTCACAATGCATATTATTATACCGACTTGAGGTCTATATCACGATTGATTTGTTTGTTAATTTAATTACACAGTTTGATTTAATTACACGACTTGATTTTATTAAAAGTGTTACAAGTCTTAACGTCACCAAAAAACCGCTAGACGAACGAGATGATGAAAATTATGAATAAATGGTATTTTACATTTTTTGAAAGTAATTTTGAAGTCATTATTTAGGACAAGCCACTGAGCTATTTTGTGAAGTTTATAATACAAAGACATTTTATAAAAAGTCGACGTGTGAATATCACTAATGTTAACGCTTAATTAAAGACACATCAGTTGTGTTTTGTTTGTCAACAATCAACTGTTTGTGTTTTTCAATAAGCAATCAATTTGTTCATGATGTCATCAATGTAAACATTAACTTTGTATTCTTTGTAATTACCGATTCGTTGGTTTTCTTCTTCTAAGTAATCGCTCTCTGTCTCTCTTGCAGACCGGATAAATCATCACAATTTAACAAAAAAAATATTGTATGGATATAATACATTTCGAGACCAGGTTGTACTTAACTTACTTAGGACAATGACTAATTAGTGGTGGGCGTATTTCGAATAGGATATCAGATTGTTAAAAAAAAGCCTGCATTACTACCTTTCAAATAATTGCATAATGAATTAAATTGGTAAAAAATATAAGTATATCAATCATCATTTAGAAAACCGTGATTGTTATATATCGACATATTAAGTTATAATTCTTTTGTCGTCATTGAATTATTAAGACAATTAACTTTCACAAAATTTATAGGTATGTATATAATTTCATTTTAATATTAAAATAGCATTGAATCTTGATAAACAATCTTCACAATTAAAAATTGCTAAAAATACACTGTGATTGGTTTTACCAAACTATCCGGTCGCTTTACCAAAAATCAGTCAATGAATTTTAATTGAGAACCTCCTCGTTCATTATCATCTGAAGTCGATGAAAAAGATTTGTGCTAAACTGTCACATTGTACTCACTCTGGAAGCCGGTGAGATGTATGTCGGCGGGGTCACCGCGCGGTGCCGACACTAAGCCGGCACCGGAGGCGCGCGCGTCCGGCGCCGCGGTCGGTGCGGACACGGCACACGTGAACGGCGAGCCCGGAACCGCGTGACCGTTGAACCGGACCGACAGCGTGTGCGGCGCCGCTTCTACCGGCTTGAAGTTCACCTACCAAACAAACACATCATCTATACTAATATATAAAACTACAATGGTTTTTACGGATGTTCCGCTATAACTACTGAACCATGTATCCGATTGACTTGAAACTTGGTATCCATGTAGAAAATACATGTACTTAATGGATAGGCTAATATTTATATGAGTGTTGGACTCCCTAATAATAATGACAATAAATAATAATGTTAATTTTAAATGCGCAGTGAAGCGGGCGAGTACGGCTAGTACTATATATGAGTCGTCTATTATCAAAGGTGGCAATCTGTGCATTTGGACAAAAAAATGTTATTGATATGTCAATACAGATTGATTTGAATATAATCGTCTCCTTCAAAGAATACGGTTCAAAACCTGCATTAAATAAAGGTTAATACTTAACCTGTTATTTATCTAAGATGTCGTTCCGAAGAGTTTTGTGACTGCCAATGGAATACAAAGTCAATAATTCGTTTTTCTGATTTACCAATAATTTTCCAAAAGTCAGATTGCCGGCTTTGATAATAGTCGACTCATATATAGACAACCAATTCTGAACTACCGAAAGCACATATTATTATATGCTCTGCTTGTTCCCTCGTATTACATTATGTGTACAACGGACGAAAAGATGCTCTTTGCTTGCTGTATTAGGTTTCGATTTACCACCGATTCTATGAAGCTAATCTCTTGGTATTTATCCACGAAAACTATCCTGGATAACCCACAGTGTGCTGAATAACTTAAGATTAATTAATATGCGACGAGAGTCGACATTTCACGCTAATACAGAGAGAGAGAATATAGTTTATTGCATACCAAAACACAATTAACATAAAAAAAACAATCAACAAACAGATTCATTTGTACAATAGGCGGTCTTATCGCTAAAAGTGATCTCTTCCAGGCAACTGTTTAATTTACAGAAATATCGGAAAAAGATAAAGACACAGCAGGTATGTTTCGGTGTACTGTTAACAGTATATTATTAAAGAAAATACATAATTATGTACATACGATCAATTGTGGTGGAAAATCGGTAAATCCGAAAGACTTTGTCTTACTGAAGGTTAATGTAAAATTTAATTATAATAACCATAGCAAAATTAATATTTATTCTTATTGGAAAGCAGTATTTTTACTTTACAAATTACGACCACTTTACCTTGAATCTCGCATTTCCTTCACTCTGCACATAATTAGGCACGTTTCGACCGTTAACGGCTACGATAATTTCTAAGTTGCCGGCACCTGTGACAGAACGAATCATAAAAAAAGGGTGATCAATGCTGTTATTGTTAAAACATTGTTACAATAAGAATTTAGCATCGTCTATTATCTATCTATATGTGAAACAAAAACTTTGTACCCAAATTGCGGTGTCGGAATAGTATAAAATTTCCCAAACTTACAGAGAATATAGAGAAGCAGTGCAGAATACAATTTTTTTTTTGAATATGCATAAAAGAATATAAAAAATGAGAAAAAAAACATTACCCATACTATCATCTATTTGACACACACACACGCATATATACTCATTTGTTTATTTTTAAAGTCAGTGGTCAAATTGAGAATAGATTAATATTATGTGTCTATAGCGTAGTCTTGGGAAAATCTGTGATTATAGAAGTAAAGTCTTTGACAATAGAACCATAATAATGTTCAAACTTTTAATTTCAATTAATTATAGTCGAATTTTGACTACCTGCGACCACTAGTTGGAATTAAAAAGCTTTGTCGACCGTATTATTGGTACAAGTTTTTTTTAACTGCCTTTGCAGGCAGACGAGCATACAGCCCGCCTAACGGAAAAAGATCATAGACCTCAGCAATGCCAGGTGCAGAGCCAAGCCGCTGCCTAATTGAATCAGCGTACCAGCATGTGATGCGTTGATGGTGAAGGACACAGGTCTTCCGACGACACCCGGGGAGATGTCGGTGACGCTGACCCGCGCGGCGCTGTACGCCTTCACCAAGAACGGACTACCCTCCACGTGACCACCCGAAGCGCCGGCGCGAACCTATTCATAAAAACAGGGTCTATTTATTAATCGGGTAGAAAGCTAACACAACCAGTCTTAACTGGTTATCGGAAAACAAAGTGTTTGTTATTAATATTAATATTGAGGAAAAATGGTTGTATTTCAAGCTCGTTGGAGACGATGATGGTACGGAGCACATCACATCTTACAACCGTAGTAGTAACGCCGCTGCTCATCACGCGACGTAAGTAAGGTTTGATGATGGAAACAAGGAAACAATATACGCAACTTCTGATTCTATTAAGGGCCAGACAGATTGTCATGTTAGCGCGTAGAACAAAAACCCTAACTCACAATTGATGAGCACTACGTAGCATTCCCACTAACGAATAGATACTTTGTAAAAAAATCAAACTGAATTGAAAATACCTCAATACTGTGATCTCCTACATCAACAGGCACAAATGAGATGGTGTACCGTTTGCTCGCCTCGTTTTCACCTACGGTTTCTTCAGCAGATACCTGGAAGAAATATTTGATTATTAACGAGATCCAGCAACGATTTCCTATCAAAAAAGAAATGAAATGCTCCCATTGTCAAGACTACTCCTGCACCTATTTAAAGATGTACTACCAGAAACCTTTCTTGAAGTCTCAATCAGGGCAGTGGCAGCAGCTATAACAGCAGAAACGAACAAGACCTACCTACGTGAGCTTGCAAAACCATTAAAAATTCTTCTGACAGTTAAAATATATTCCTAATCTTCTTGTTCTCTTATCGCAGCGACATAAGACATAACCAGACATGATCGGCACAAAATGTTGCATACTGTCACGGCTGCCTCTGCACTTGTCTGGAAAGCTCTCTGAGCATAATGAAAAGCTCGGCTTTCGTACAGCTTCGTAAACTTATGTTTTCTTCTATCGTTGGAGAGAGACAAAGAGATAAGTAGGACATAGAAGGGCATCTTGCACAATTATATGAATCTTGATTATTTGAAACTCACTTGCACAGTGACGGGTCTCCTGGCGGGGCCAAGCACCTCGACGTGCGGTGACGTAGGCGAATCGACGCTGAACGTATACGCGTCACCAACCGACACCTTCTCCGGAGGCTCGCCCGATCCTGCACCGATCACGCGCGCTGGCGCCGACACGTGACACACGAATGGACTGCCTGGTATAGCATACATGTCGCAGGTCAAAATCATAGCATCATAACGCCGATATAATTATGTATTTACTAAAAGTTCACTTTTTTTTAATTGCTTAGATGGGTGGACGAGCTCATAGACCACCTGATATTAAATGGTTACTGGAGCCCATAGACATCTACGGCGTAAATGCGCCACTCACTTTGAGACGTAAGTTCTAAAAGGTCTCAAGTATGGTTACACGCTATTTCAATCAATATGCTAAGAAGTTGGTTGCTTTTCTCAATAACTTTTTTTATAGAAACAATTTCAGCAAGCCCTTGCCTGTTGCTCGTCTGACCCATTGTATACTCTTATAAGTCAGAATAACCACAATTATCATCAGACATCGTAGGGGCGAATAGGGTGATCGAGCTAAGAGAAATATTGAGTACACCAATCACGTTTGTTGTCTTAGAACAATTTAGAAATCTTCTCTTGACGTTGGAAAACGAAAACGAATGACAGTTCTTAGGACGGCGGCACCGCTCTTCAAGATGGCTGGTTGGTAAGTGCGATGGCGTCTACGCGCCTCCATCGACTAGGCTCTCTCGTAGGACGAAGTTAGCCGAGTTCCGACGATACCGCAATCGTGCTGCCGTCTCTCGGGAATCGTGCGGCGTTTGCTGCGTACCAAACTAATAACTGTCTCTGAAATATATAAAAATATCTTACCAGGCACGTGATCGCCGTTGAAACGCAGCTCAACGGTGTGAGGCCTCGGATCCCGCGGCGTGAAGCTGATGGCGTATGTGTGAGCTCCTTGCGCTGCCGCTGCAGTCGGTACCCGTCCGCCATTCACTGTCACCTCTAAATTCCCAGGACCAGCGGCCATTGTCTCCACTGATGAATAAACAGCATTAATAATTATTGTATTATACTCATCGAAAATTAGCAAATGATCAAACAACTAGATTTTCCTACGAACCTAAAAAAGTGACAGGTTTACCGACAGTACCGTGCGCGACATCTTTGACTCTTATAGCTGATACATCGTATACCTGGAATATGAAATATTATTGTTATATAACTATATTATTATTGCTTATTCTACTTGTTCCTTAGGCATGATGATAATAGAATATCTCCATGTTATAACTTAGTTTATAAGACACACAATTTAAACTTTGAAAGAAATAATCGGTCAATTATACTCAAATGTATTTTTCTGGTTGCAATGTGTTTTCATTACTAGAGGTTGACGTCCGCGCATCAGTCCATTTTCGGGAGTCTTTGGGGCAGAAAATATTTTGGAAAATCATATAACATTTTTTTTCCACATTTACGGCGTATTACTTAGTGTTGTTTTTTTTATTGCTTGGAGGGTGGACGAGCTCACACCCTACCTGGTGTCAAGTGGTTACTGGAGCCCATAGACATCTACAACGTAAATGCGCCTCCCATCTTGAGGCATAAGTTCTAAGATCTCAGTATAGTTACAACGGCTGCTCTTAGTCTTATTGAAACACATATAAAGTATTATATATATGGGTAATGTATACCTTTAGATGGAAGGGACTGGCCGGAATGGGCACGGAGTCGATAAGTACGTTGAGTCTGTGTTCCCCGACAGCGCGCGGCACGAACTCTGCTCGAAAGGCGGCAGGACCCGCCGAAGACACCGCCGCCGGCACCGACGCCCCATTAGGACCTGCCCCACGTCCATAGCTCAGCTCACCGCCACGCCCTAACACCCCAACCTAATCTACTTCCCTTTAACTAAACATTTTCTAACACCCCTTAAATTATTATCCCCGTCCATTATATCAGTTTCGAATAATAACTAAATATTCTAAGCTATTTATATTACCTCTGACGTCAGCGATTTCCAGAATTACCCCAGTTCGTATTTAATAATAAATATTTAATAATAGCTCTGACGTCATTACATGATGTTAGGAGTTAGGGCGAAGCGGATGAGCTTGTTCGTAAACACTAAATGATTTGTTATGTCTTGTTATTAAGATCCTGAAAAACTTGGACCCAACATTGGAATTTATTACCATACTGCTAAACTCATTGGCCATGGACAAAATTGGAATTTATTACCATACTGCTAAACTAAAATACATATAAACCTAATTCTATATTTATATGAAATAAAAGAGAATACATAATATATTAGGGTTAATTAAATAAAATGTACGTGGCGTTTGTTAGTTTGCGAAGCATGAATATAGTCCTAATTCTACGTTGTCTACTTCATTTTATCGTAATTTCACTATCATGATCCTGCGGTAGTTAATTTCTATTCTCTTTATTCTGTATCCAATTTTTTTATGGATCATTTTCTCATTTAAACCGCCCTGCAAATAACGAGAAACATTCACATGTAGCTACACATTTATGTTTTACCTATGCTAATTCATATTATGTAATGTGATATTATAATATTTATGTAATCGCATAAAATTTAAAACACGCACTGGATTCATAATTAATTATTGTAATTTGTAAATGTGATTATTATTCAGTGTACGAGTAGCACACTACTGACCGATGTGGCACACTTTCTTGTGGCTCTAATTAACTCATGTTCCATCCAAACACCAATACACGCTATTGCCCCGCCCCTGGCATTGCTGAAGTCCATGGGCGGCGGTACCACTCACCATCAGGTGGGCCGTATGCTCGTCTGCCTACGCGGGTAATAAAAAATTAGAATATTTACTTTAAAGCGTGAGTTTCAAGTCGCTATGATATTGGAATGACGGTTAACATGTCCCACAACAATACGAACGCACGACGCTAGAAATATTCTTCTATTAGCATCCAGATAGGACCGCTGAAATTGTATTGCTGTCGAAGTTAAATATGCATTGGTGGGTGTTACCTTCCACGTTGACTTCGATCTGGTCGAGCGTGGCGGTGGCGTGGTGCAGTGTGAGCGCGGCGGGGTGGTGCAGCCGTGCGGGGCCCGGGACAGACACACGGGCCGCCCCCCCTGCCCCTTCCGACACCGGCAACACTAGCGGACATCCCGGTACTCGCATCTACAGGAAAATAACGATACACTACATTAGAGTATAGTATAGACGTATACGATATAGTAGAATAGAGTAGAGTAGAGTACATAACAGTAGAGTATTATAGTAGGCAAGGAAAGTGACCACGCGGCCGATCACCTAGTGGCTGATGTGACCAAATAAGCGACCTAACTGAGCTGCCAGTCACAATCGCTTTACGAAAAGCCGAGGACCGGACGAGTTGGAAACAGCTCACGAGACAGGCTACGGTCAAGTTTCAGGAACACGACCTTCAATAATGAAGATAGCGACGAAGAAGATAGCAGAATAGTCTCGTAGAATACGGTCGACTTAAAAAAGGTAGGATGTAGTGTATTTATTGTATGAGTATCTCACACCAATCGAGACGTAATATACTTAGCATTATATAGTTTATTCTGTTTTCCACAACCAAATCTTCAATATTAAAAAAGTTGTTTTAAAAATGTAGATGTAAATTTTTTACAATTTCGGAGAATGGAGTTGCGCTTTTATCGCTGTAACTTTTAAGCTTTAAAAAAACTTTAAGCTTTAAGATAACAGAAAACTGTTATCTGTTTGGCTATCGAAGTTTTACATTATACGAATAGTTTACGTCACTACATATTACAAAACAAAGTCGCTTTCTCTGTCCCTATGTATGCTTAAATCTCTAAAACTACGCAAAGGATTTTGATGCGTTTTTTTTTAATAGATAGAATGATTGAAGAGGAAGGTTTATATGTATAATAGCATCCATTAAATAGTGGAGAAATCAATAATAAATTACAGTTTCCGAAGCGAAGCGAGGGCGGGTCGCTAGTTTTTTATATAATATAATAGGTTTAGGCCATGCTACAGTAATATGTAACTTAATATGTATTATATATCGACGCTTGAAAGGCAAACGTGACTAAGCGACAATAGCTGCTTTGTATATAAATTATAGGCAATAACTATATTCGATGCGCAAAAAATATATATTTCTAGGTCTATTAAAATCATTTCAATCCTACAGCTACTAGCTAGATTCTACTACAGCTAGATTCATTAAAATAAATTTTGTTTTCAGGTAATTCAACTTGAAATTATTCTACTGTAAAGTTCACGCATTGTCGCTTAGTCACGTTTGCCTTTCAAGCGTCGATATATAATTGATCAATAACTAAAATCAGAGTATCTGGTTTACCTTATTGAAAGAAACATTGACAATGTGGTCGCACACTTCAGTCGGAGTGAAAGACACGGTGAAGCGTGCATTTCCCTGAAAAGGAGTTAGTATTTATATAATATTGGATAATAGGCTAGATTAATTACCAGTATCACAACTGTCTTCGTGCAAAGAATACATCGAAAAAGTTTCTGTGCGTTTGTAAACAGATGGATCCTTAGATCAGCGAATCAGAATGAGAATAGAACTTGACTTAATTTGTGTATTTCTATCAAAAAGAGTTAAATAGCACTGTACATTATTTTTGTACTTATTTATTTATTTATTTATACTTTATGCACAAAACAAAACTTGTACACAGGCGGACTTAATGCCATGGGCATTCTCTTCCAGTCGACCATAGGGTGGTGCAGAGATAATGCTTGGTAGGTGCATTGACAAAAGAATAACAAACAACAACAACAAAACAAAAAAACAAAAAAGAAGAACAAACTCAAAACAAAAATCTTATCTTACTTACTAACTTAGGAACTATTAAAATTTCATTAGATGTGCATTGTTATTTATGACGTCATCATCATAAAAGTGTATCCAACAGATATTGAGGGAGAACGATACGAAATAACTCCGACAACGAATCCATAATTTTGTCAAATTTATAAATTATCATAATAACTTCCGCGTCATTACGCTTTCTACAGAATTAGAGATACGTTACTCCAGCTTGATTATGTAAAAGTTGTGAGTTGTTTATATAATATGTTTTTTTTTATCTAAGATGGGTGGGCGAGCTCACTGCCCACCTGGTGTTAAGTGGTTAGTAGAGCCCATAGACATTTACAACGTAAATGCGCCACCCACTTTGAGATATAAGTTCTAAGATCTCAGTATAGTTACAACGGCTGCGGCTCACAAGAGGTCCTACCACCAGTAAATCTATGTATATGTAATCTTGTTTACTCACTTGTGGATGTACTTGCGTGGGAATATTGAGTCCCCGTGCGGAAACAGTGATTTCGAGGTTTCCTTCTCCAGCCTGCGCGGCGTCCACAGCGAGCTGGACAGGTACTCCGACGCGGGCTGACGTTGCTCCTGTCACGCTCACCAGCTTCCCATCGTAGGCTTTGCACGTGAATGGTGTTCCCTGATACATCAATAATCACATTTTTATGCAAATGAACAGAGAGAGAGAGAGAGAGAGAGAGAGAGAGAGAGAGAGAGAGAGAGAGAGAGAGAGAGAGAGAGAGAGAGAGAGAGAGAGAGAGTGCATACCAAAACACAATTTAGATTCAAAAACAGTCAAAAATTTTGTAACGTTTGTACAATACAATTTGTCTTATCACTAAAAGCGATCTATTTTAGACAACAGAAATTCTGGAAAATATAAAAATATAGTATGTTGTGGTGTACTATTGGCAATATATTATTATTTTGAAAATATATACATACAATCAATAAATATACGTTTATATATAACGTGAAATATATAACTATTTGATTTATATACCAATATACACACTTACACACTAATTAATATACTTAAATATACATAATAAATCAACACTATGAAAATGATAAATGATAATGATACAAACAAACAACACTAAGCAGATAACTAATGTTCCTGAACCATTCTTTTAAAGCAGTTTGAAGTTGGAATCAAATTATAATGATGAATGATCAATAATGATTCATGAATGATGAATTGATAATCAATAAAGTCTCAATTGAAGTTTTACATCGCGGCACTAATTAATAGCTTATGTAACTATAGAGCGCTTATACATACGGGTACAGGTTGGTTGTTATAGTGAGCGGTCAATGTATGAGGTCCAACGTTTTTGGGTGTGAAACTCGCGACGAGCCCGGTGACGGCATCGCCCGTGAGTCGCACGGGAACCTCTCCTCGAGGACCGCGCACCGTAACCGTCAATTCTCCACCCGATGAACCTTCTACTCTTACTGAACATGACGCTACGTCACCGACTGGTATTAATTCTGCGACAAAACGAAATCATAAAACTAAACAAGCTAAAGTAAAATAGCATCGATAATAGTCAGAGCGGAAGTCCGGCAGCTTTACTTAAAACCTAAACCGATCTTCGAAATCAAGCCCCTAAAGGAGAAATAGATTGGGATACAAAACAATTAATCATGATTCACATAATTGAATAGCTACAGGTGTACTATGTCAAACGGTTTCCCTTTACTAGAAAGCGTGCTTCAAATTTTACAACACGGGTGACGTTTGCATTTAACCTCTGATTTATTTTTGTAATTTATGCTAGCTGGCTTAGCTGATCTACACTATATATAAAGCCAATTTTTTCCACCTTTGACTTCTGAGAGGTCTTGAATTGAAAGTCAGGTAAGGATATTACTAACTAATAGACAGACAGGCGATAGAGCACTAGTGGTAGCCTGAAACTAGAGGCACAATGTTATCTGATGACCAGCCGAATTATACATGTCGATTTAAAATCCAAGACAAAATTGTTTTTGTTGTTTATCTAGTCAGGCAGAGCTCAAGACTAGCTTGGTGGCTAGCTTACATGTGGTTATCAGGTAGGACAGCACGCAATTCTCACAATACGGTCTGTTTTAATATTGTAGTACTTACCAACTTGCGAAGTATCGATGGTTACTCTCTGTGCCGGTGCTACTTGGAAGACGAATGGTGACGACGGAACGGGCTCACCGTTGAACTTGATGTCGACGCGGTGAGGAGACGCCGCCTCTGGTCGCCAGTATACCAAACATTTTCCTCCTCCTACAACCTGTGGTTTATTGTGGAAAATGATGCATTTTCGTCGGTAAGGGGCACGCGAAAAATCGCCAAACAATATACTAAACTAACCTAACCTAATTTAATTTGACTCCGGCTAACAGAAAAGTACATACTATACTATACAATTGCCATTAAACAATAAATCTATAATTCTAAGTACTGTTCGTGAAAAATCAAATTACTTGAGAGCGGATAGATCTTATCAATATATTTTAATGTACTCGAAATAGTCCGAATAAGATTTCAGGGAAATCGAAATTCAGTTAAATAAGTTAATAAGTAAATTAATATATATTTTTGGATAGGTCAACGTCAACAGAAATATGATCAAATTATTGAAGAAAAAGTAATTTTGAAGTTTTTTGCTCCTCACTCTTTGAAGTCGTTTTGATTTAAAAGCTGTTGTATGCAATATTTAAATGTTAATTTCCAAAAGGCATATCTATCATGTGATAGAGCGTAGGTCGAATACTTACTAGAAACACACACTTGAAATAGTGCTAAACGAACCCCTGATTAGAAGCCAGTTAATTGATTATGATTAAACCTATAATATGTAATAAATATGTAATAAACCCGCAAAATTAAAATTTGCATAAATACTGGTGGTAGAACCTCTTGTGAGTCCGCACGAGTAGGTGCCACCACCCTGCCTATTTCTGCCGTGAAGCAGTAATGCATTTCGGTTTGAAGGGTGGGGCAGCAGTTGTAACTATACTGAGACCTTAGGACTTATATCTCAAGATGGGTGGCGCATTTACGTTGTACATGTCTATGGGCTCCAGTAACCACTTAACACCAGGTGGGCTGTGTGTTCGTCCACCCATCTAAGCAATAAAAAAAAGTAACGAAAAATCAACTGGAGACAACATGTTTCGCTTATATGCAGCTATGTATGTACGTATTTCAGTCTTAGTTTCACAACAATAAGGGAAAACTCATTTGGATCGTCTTGTAAATTTTACAAAAGCTTTTCACAGTGTTTCAGCGACAACTTCGTTCGTGCACGTACGGATTGCATTACGTATATGTCGTACGTTGAAAAAGGGCTTTCTGCGAAGCTGCCTGGCCGCAATGTTGATGAAATTGGATTTCACCACATCGGTAGTGCTCGGCTACCGGTTTATTGCTCGAGACTTTTTAATGCAAAACTCCGTTCGAAATGCGAAGTGTAATTTAAAGATTTTTTCATTGCACTAGTCTTTGTCGTAATTGTGTGATTCTTTCAATTGCAAAACACTTTTCGTGACGTCAGAAAGAAATTGAATTTCTAATAGTATTAATATTTTATGACTTTAAAAATAATAACAATAACATAAATATGTGAATGGGATAATCAGTGGACAATAAACGACTTAAAAAAAAACTCGATCTAAGCATAATTATTTGCTTATAATAAAAGCAACTAATAAAAGCATAATATAAGCTTTATATCACGAAACTCGGAAGTGATATCTAATACCGATTAGTACCTACTAATTTTGAATGTTACCCACGATTTCAATCACCATGATTTTATAATAAAATACTGAAACATTTACATAACATTTCCGGAATAAATCATTCAATTGTAAAACACTTTTTGTGACGTCATAATGAAATTGAATTTCTAATAGTATTAATATTTTTATGAATTTAAAAACAATAGTAGTAACGTATGTGAATGGGATAATGGTAAGTAGACAGTAAACAATTAAAAACAACCTCAAACAAGCATATTTATTTGCTTATAATAAGAGTAACTAATAAAAGCACGATATAAATTTGTATCACGAAACTCGGAAGTAATATCTAATACCGATTAGTACCTACTAGTTTTGAATGTTACCCACGATTTCAATCACGATGATTTTGTAATAAAATACTGAAACATTTGTACAAATTTTCCGGAATAAAAATAGCTTATTACATTTCTGTCCTCTAATTGTTTCTTTGTGAAATGCTACTTTGATCCATTACTCGAAATGTTACGTTACGTAGAAAGGAACAACAAAGAAATTACTGTCGTATTTACATTTAAGCACATATAAATTAAATAATAAACCTTTAACATATTTTGTTCATTTTGATTTCTCATATAAATCTACAGTGATATAATTTGACTAAAATGTTTATCTTCACATTAACATCAAGATATCACACATTCAGCAGTCTAATTTTGTAACCGATACAATTACGATAGAGTTTTAAATAAATATATATTCCTATTTCACAGTCACACGTCAAACGTGGCATGACGAATATTATAGAGAATAGTTATAGGCAACACTGTAAACAAAACACATTATTATCAGTTCTATATAACACAAGAGAAACTGTATCCGTACAAAATTTACGGGAGCACTTCAAACACATTTCGTGACATAGTATCCTCCTCATAACGTTCACAGAAAAGCATCGATAAATTTTACTCTCCTCTTTTATCCATTGTAACGTGATATATGAACAGATTATGATAGTGATATCTCGAAATCCTATTTGTATTATTATTTTTCCGTTGACTGCTGTTACGAAAGAAATAAAAGATGACGTGTAGTCAGGGAATAATGATCTGAATCTCACCTGTACATGATTCGGGACTTCTCCTTCGTTAATAGAAATTTCCAACTGTCCCTCTCCAGCGGCGCTCGCGTCCACTGAAATTTAAGCTGTAGTTATTGTTTTATCTATATAAATAAAAATGAATTGCTGTTCGTTAGTCTCGCTAAAACTCAAGAACGGCTGCACCGATTTGGCTAATTTTGGTCTTGAATTATTTGTCCAGTCCAGGAAGTCCAGAGAAGGTTAAAAAGGTAGATAGATATGAAGATGCTCAAAATTAAATAAATATAACAATTTTGTTTTTCCTCTGATGTGTCCCCCATCCGACGGATTTCTTTTGTTTGTTTTAAGTTTATTTTATACAAAAGTTTAGGTATTTTATTTATCAATTGAGGCACTACGAAGTCTGCCGGGTCAGCTAGTACTTAATATAATTTTACTCTCGTACTTATTGGTAACATATTAAGATTCCTTTTTGCTATTCCCGAACGAACCACCACATGACTTCCGTCTGTCTCATTCTGACTTTTGGTTAATTATATCGTCGCAAATCACGTTTGGAAATAACTTCGAAAGCCCGAAGTTTAACGATACGATGGTTGTCCCATTTTTCAAACGAGAACACATGACTGGTTCAAGGTAAAAATAGATTAAGGTTAGTAATTACGTTTTTTTTTAAAACATATTACGAGTACAATGCTTTCATATTTTAGTACTCGATGATATTCTATCATCGTCGACGTCGTGAGTGGAAGAATTAGATATGTATTTCATTATTTATTTATTATAACATGGTATGAACCAGATGATTTGAATCCTCACATCGTGGCACGAGTCGAAACGATTATACAAAAAAATATACCAATTAAGGTTAAGAATTCTATGAATTATAATAATAAAAATAATTTCATCATCAATCAATCATCTTCATCGTGTACTATGGAATGTTTACCAGAAACTCATAGGGATATCAGAGTATATGCCAATTCCCACAGTGAGAAATGAGGTTAATGTCACACTTATATCTGAATAACCTGCCATTAAAAACTTAATAACATCATCGTGTTTTGTAACAGAAATAGACAGTGCAATGTTACTCACAGCTCTAACACTACTACTGACTAATCATTGGTGATTTATATAGTTTCGATTTTTTTATAAAATTTTAAGAAAAGTTTAAATTGTTTTTTTTTTCAAATTATACAACTCAGAAATATGATTACCGTGTTCAAATCAACAGGTCTTGAAAAACTTTATTAAGCACTTTGTAAAGCATCCAATACTTTACCTTGAGGTTATCGAACCCAACCATAGCTTTGTTAAGGAAAGTATTCGGAATCTGACCTTTAAACTGACATTGTTGTCCGACGACGGCGTTGCCCAAGTCTGTGACCTTAATCAGACTCGCGTCATACACCTTCGCCACCAGCGGTCCGCCGGCCAGCTTATCATCTGCTATCGATACCTGGACATAGGAGGTACATTTATTCAAATCAAATGCTAGTTATGCAGTTACAAAAAAAAGTGTTCGAAATTTAAGAAAATAATCTACGTACATAGTCGAAGCTGATTAAATATCTTGATGAAATTTTAAATTGGGAAAATTTTCACACACACGCGTAGCTTTCAAATAAAAAGATAATCATCAAAATCAGTTGACCTAGAAAAAAATCCGAGGTAACACACAAAAGATTTCAGTCGAATTGAGAATCTCCAAATTTTTTCAATCGTTTAAAAATACTAATTTGTTTTTGCATTATTCTCTGATCGATATGCTTTAACACCAGTTCTTAGCGCATATTACGGACAATTTTAGAACAAACCTTTAATAATTTTACGGTCGTAATGCTGACGTTGCTTGTCTTTTTATGGTTCGACGAATCTACGGTTTCACTACTTAATTTCATTTTTGTTTCTTACACGCTACAAAATGAACGAATCGAAATGCTTCTTGCCCCATTAGTATCGATTTCATGGAAAGCTGCCGTATTTCATTATTTTCGTAGTTATAGTGTATATGATTCACACCAATTATTACCAAAATTGTGCCAATTCTTAAAACAAGAACCTTATGTGTTAAAAGTAAGTGATGATTATTATCGATGACTAGCTGTCCCGGCAGACTTCATAGTGCCTCAATCGACAAATAAAAGACCTAAGCTTTTGTATAAAATAAACTTAAAACAAACAAAAGGAATCCGTCCGACGGGGGACACATCAAAGGAAAAACAAAATTGCTATTTTTATTTAATTCCGAGCATTTTCATATTTATCTACCTTTTAAACCTTCTCTGGACTTCCACAATTAATTCAAGACCAAAATTAGCCAAATCGGTCCAAACCTTCTCGAGTTTTAGCGAGACTAACGAACAGCAATTCATTTTTATATATATAGATTTGCTTACGTATAAAGAAATTAGGGAAATCTTCAAAAGAAAGCGTTACAACCATGTATATAAATATATTCGTATGTATGTGTAAGAACTTTTAAACATTAATGTGGAATGCAATAAAAATATCAATGACCTTTACGGTTTAAGGTCAAAGTTCTTGGTTGAATCGACATTTATACGAGTAAGGTGAAGAGCTCATATTTATAATTATAGCATATTGAGTCTGAGCTTTGTACATGGTTCACTAGAATCAGACGAATGTATCGAAGTATCGTTGTTTAAATAATGGTAATTGATTCAAAAAAATTTAGATTGGAGTTTGAAGAAGATATTCGACGCTGTAATCTATTTTATTTATTTACTAGCTTTTGCCCGCGACTTCATCCGCGTAGAATAATTCACAAATAATGCTTTATTTTAGAACAGATTTGGTCAGCATAAAAAATGTTATAGTCAGCCAACCTTAACATATAGATATATGCTGTCCCGGACTTTTTCTTAGATATTTTAAAGGCGAACAATTCTGTCATACATTATTTTAGCGAAACTTTAACCGTTTTCGCAGCGCACGCAGCGGAAGCTCTCAAAAGGGAAAAACCCCGATTTTGAAACATTCTTTATTGGTGCTCCGCTTATATTGGTCTTAGCATGATGTTATATAGCTTATAGCCTTCCTCGATAAATTGGCTATCTGACACTGAACGAATTTTTTAAATCGAACCAATAGTTCCTGAGATTAGCGCGCTCAAACAAACAAACTCTTCAGCTTTATAATATTTTATTTATTTATTGCATAGACGGACGAACGAGTTCATATGTCACCTGGTTTTAGTCAAGTATTGGAAATATTATAATATAAATGCCGCACTTATTTGACCTTTGGTTACATAATATGAGATGAGATGATAACAAACAGGCAAAGCTCCAAATATAAATAACTAATGCAATAAACTTTGACTTTACTTACATCGATCAAATGCGTGCCGACCTCTTCAGGAGTGAACTCGATGCGGTACAGACCCGGTCTTTCTGCAACATCCAGAACTCGGACGTTCACAGGACGTCTCGACGGAGATGTGACTGTTACTCCGACCTGATAAAAAAAAGACGTGTGCTGTCATGGGACACCGGATAGGAACGAAGTTCCTTATAATAAACATATTAATTTTAAGTTCTATTATCTAATAGAAAATAATACTGGAGGTTTCGCAACAGCCCACGGTCATTCAGTAACGTGCGAACTTATTGTGGTACACTTCATTCACGGTTGTTTGCATAAGAGTTAGTGTATTGCGCAAACGAACGCTCTGAGATTGTGGTCAATGAATGATAAAAAGATATGTTATTTTATTACGTTATTACAAAGTTAAGTCGTACATTGTGTGCATTACTAATAAAAATCTTACGTTACGGACGAGTTTCCCGGTTAGGATACCCCTCCGCATCGTCCCATAAGGAACTTCGTTCCAAAAAACAATTAAACGTTCTACATTAAAAAATATTCTGTTATAGATACCGGAAACACAGACGAGCCAAAAACAAATACAACCAGCGGATATCAAATAGATTAAACAAATATACTTCGTACCACAAATCAAAGCCCCAATTGATTAATAACAGGAAAAATGTAATGGATGGGATACGACATCAGTATTTATAACAAGATATATTTTCTGTTGCAATGTTCAAACGGTAGGTTAACCTACTAATTAAAGAGTTTTCAGACACAATTTTTGTTCGGAACAGATTTTATAAATAATACAAAAAAATAATAATTATCCATTCTACTTTACGTCTCGCGTCTTTGGTACTCTCTGCCCACATGTTTTGTACTAATAAAGCTAATTAATTATATACCCCTCATGGTCACAAACGACAAACATAATTGTCATAATTGACTATATAGGAGTACAATATTCAATTTATCAATAATTTAATTATCAGACTGTCACAGTCACCGACAACTTGGTTTTCGTAAAATTCAACGTGTGAATGAAGAGATAATTGAAATAAAGCGAGACATTAAAACTAGATTTCGTAAGTTATTTGTTTATAACAAATACGGAGATATTAAATAAGAAAAATTCGAATTTTAACGTGAAAATACTTGAATTATTACATTTGGTACGTTATTAATTACAATCCAAAAATATATATCTCATGAAAACATGATAGACTAGGACAGGCTACTGAAAACATTGAAAAAATAATTGACATTATCAAAACCGCAAATTTTCCAAACAGCTGTAGGCAGCGGCTTGGCTCTGCCCCTGGCATTGCTAAGGTCCATGGGCGACGGTAACCACTCACCATCAAGTGGGCCGTATCCTCGCTTGCCTTCAAGGGCAAAAAAAAAAAACTTATTCTCTGAATAACTGAAAAACGTAAAAAGTTTTAGTATGGTTTAGTATCGTTAAAACTCACATCATTTTTAGTAAAAGTTGCAGAACCAGGAGATGTGGATATCTCGAAGACGGCGGGCACTCGTGCGGGGATTAGTCTGGTCGGCTCTCCGCCACCGCCGCCCACCGGCCCCGCCATCACCTCGACCTTCCACGGGGAACCTGAAACAATGACATCATGTCAAACTAAAGCCGCAGGGTCTTGCCTAATAATTGTCATCCTGGTCATTACCCAAAAGAAATGAGCATATTCAAACTTATAAATATATTTCTAATTCCTGTAGATAATTTAATGCGTTTTTACCTAACCGGTTTTAGATAGTTCCGGAAGCCTGTCACAATGTGAATGTCTCCATCCACCTCGAAACAAAGCTAATAAAAATAAAAAGTTTTTAACTTCCAAGAAATTACTCAATCTGATTTAATATTATTCAAATCACGTAATCGTAAGCTTCTAATTAAATAGTTCGATTGACTCTTCCGGTAAAATTTTTGACTCGCATTACTTATTAACAACCAATTTCATAATCACGTTGATCGGTAACACCTTCTAAAATGAAATCTTTTATTATAATGAATGGTTAAAAAATAATTTATGTTAATAATAATAAATTGCCACTAGTGTGGCTGAGTATCACTCGAGAATGCATCGATGGATTAGGCTGATTTATTTTTGGTTGTATTCGTAAATGTTAGAAAAAAGGTTTACTAAAATCTTTAAAAACTTTTTTTGGTAAACGCGCGTGAATTTTAGTTCAATCAGTGATAGGAGATAATGTAGATAGTAAGCGTACCTGTGTTTCACGAGAATACAACAAATACATGGTTTGAAATGGCGGTTTTAATTTTAGATCTTTAAGTTTCCTAAAAATTATAATGACAATAATATAATTTGAAATACATTTACGGGTACTCATATAGTTTACCAACTTATGGTTAAAACTAACCACTAAATTACCAGCAAGAGCGAAAAGAATTAGAAGACTTGACATTTTGTGGTGGGCCGTGTGTATTTTTAAAGAAAGGAGAAAAAAAAGAGAATTCGACAAAAAAGGAGAAGGTGCACAATTTTTTTTCACAAACTTTATTTTTTATGTAAGTATGTTACCGCAGATTTCTTTTCTAGCTTATCCGATTTTGATAATTGTTATTTCGTATTTTAATGATTGTGCTTCTCGTTTGGTACTAATTAAATTTTATCAAGATCTGACGAGTAGTTTTTGGGTGATCTTTAAGATAGTTAATCGTGCATAATTAATTGAATTCGACAACTCGAGTTGGTGGTTTTTATGAAAAATACTTCAATGTTCAATGTTGTTCTCGTAGAAGTTATTTGCAGCGCTCATAGTACAAAAGAAAATTTAAATTTGGGGCCAGTGAATGTTGAACGTCTATGTCATTGTCAAATCAATTTTATGTTTAGTCGTTTGTGACCATGAGAGGTGTACATTATTCAAAACGTCAGATTAAGTATTGAATGTAATTCGAATTTATTTTAGATACAAAGATATTCATTGAAGAAATTACTTTTAACTTAGATAAATAAAGTATGTGACAGTTTGGATATATCCATTGAAAATTTGTTTTATTTATTTCACTTTAGTCTATGCATATAAAGCCGGAATTTTTTTTCCAACTGTTTTTTATTTTCAAATTCGTATTTTTATTTAGCTATTGACCTGTTTTGGATCGAAATCATGGCAATTAAATGAATACAAATTACTTTTACGAAGTCATTGTACCACATAACTAAATCACTTTTTTTTGGAACTCTTGTTGAATTATGTATGAAGTTAAATTATGTTAAAGTTAAGCCCACGGATGAGTTTTCACAAACATATTTTCGCACTTTTAAAACAGGTTTAAAATTGAAACCGCTTAGAGACGTCTACAAAGACAGTTATAAAAATCACACAAACGGGTACTTTACCGTGCCAACAAAGAAAAGTAAACGTTGTGTTTTTTTAAAATTCACTGACTGGTCTCTAGCAGAAAATTTTACTTTCTTAAATAAACGAATAAAATAGAAGCCGTTGACTGTAAAACGTTATTTCTCCTCAGCAGTGAGAACACATATTACTTATGAGACATAGAAATGAACAGGAATAGGTAACTATTATATTAAAAGGTAATTTCTTCATTACTAACAAATATCTTTAAATTTTAGGGTATTAGCGTTTCCGAACTTGTTTTCTTTGAGATCGAATTCCAAAATCGAATTTCGAAGGGGTTTGTTTTTTCACTCGTTTTTTTATATGCATATGAAAGAGATAGAGAGAGAACAGTAAAATTCGAATGTTTCAAATTTATGGCTGAACAATGTCAATTGGTGGTACTGAAGATTGAAAAATTAAAAAGCTACTTTGACCCATGCTCGAATCAAAATCGCGTTTTGTCCACTGTTGTTTCGCAAAAAAAGCGGCATGTTTGAGCTGCTGAGGTGAAAACGTTATATCTTCTCTAATTACGGGAATAATAAAAATACACACAGTTTATCAATTCTCGAGATACTTATGTTTATTTTTAAATAAATACATTTATCATCTTTTGCAGCGAAACAGAAAGAAGAGAGAGATATTAGAATGTAACAAATCACAAGATAAACTGTTACATCAGACTAGCCTCCGATCTTTGTCGTTGTAAAACAACAATATTGCACAACTAATAATTTAGTTTTGTGGAACAATACGGTTACTGTTATGTCATCGGCGGCAACTTTATCAAAATTTTTGTGATTTGATCATCAATAGAGAGCGTAATTTGCAATTTAATAGGTGTTTCGCGTCGTGCGAATATTGTTATGACGTATAAACGGTATATGGTCTATGCAGCTGTGTTTTCGGTGAACAAACCTATTTTAATACGCTTTTATTAGCTTCAGACGTATGTATGTTAGTATGTATGTTTGTAACGGAATTTTTGAACATGATTTTGACCCCCTTCAAGACATTGGATTAACTCGAAATTTGGTATACTTATTAAGGACCGATGACAATTCAATATTAAGAAAAATAATGAAAAAATTGAAATTCAACTAAAAAATGAAGAATAAATAATAGTTTAAAAAACTAACAAAAAACGCATTTATAGAAAATCCAACTAAAAAATAGAAAATAAATTTTAATAAATTTGAAGTAAAAATAGTGTAAGAAAAAAATTTTTTATTGTAAAAAGAAAGCGTAGGGTGCATGGTATCGGTAGTTATAAATATTTTATGTACAGATATGGGGATATTTTGATAATATCTTGAAAACCACCCCACGCTTTTTTTACAATAAAATCATTTTTTCTTACACTCTTATTAATTCAAATTTATTGAAATTTATTTTCTATTTTTTAATTGGATTTTCTATAAAAGCGTATTTTGTTAGTTTTTTCATTATTTTTATCAATTTTTTTTACCGCACAATATTATGTTCATATTATTATTTAAATGTTAGATGCATATTAAGAACATGCCGCTTCGTTTTTCATAAGTGATTGGATATTCTCAAATATAAACTAAAGTATCGTGGAAATGTATTAAGGGGAATATATTAAGGTAATACATATTATTCTTTTGTTATGGCCTTTGAAGACAGACGAGTATGTTGCACATCTTGTGGTAACAGTGTCCTTCATGAACATTACCAATGCCAAAGGCTCAGCTAAACTACTGTTTACCGCCGAGAAATCTATAAACCTCACTGGAGAAAATAAATATCATAGCACTTAGGAAGCACCGTCCAGAAGAGTTTATTCTAGAGCCGCGTGGTCTAGTATAGCACGATATTATACCAGCGTAAATTTTACGTATTTATTAATTACACGCGTCAATGAGATGACGCCCCAAATGAGTGGTTACCGGAGCCCAACACAGACACGTACAACTTTATTGACGTAATCCACCTTGGGCGCTCGTGTAGCTGTTAGCGAATCCCACCCTTCCTGGTTGAGTGAGTCCTTGCTCGCCTACCTGCCCTGGTAAAACTGGAAAGGCCTCCAGGCCACTAGTAATCTCTCAAAAATAATTAAAAAAAAGTTAGTGGTAAGTCTAAATTCTATAGTACAACGGCTGTCACACTCTTCCAACCGCAACGTATTACTGTTTCGCTGCAGAAACTAAGGAAACTATATGAAAATTAGAAATCTATACTAATATTATAAAGCTGAAGAGTTTTTTTTTTATTGCTTAGTTTGGTGGACGAGCTCACAGCCCACCTGGTGTTAAGTGGTTACTGGAGCCCATAGACATCCACAACGTAAATGCGTCACCCACCTTGAGATATAAGTTCTAAGGTCTCAGTATAGTTACAACGGCTGCCCTACCCTTCAACCCGAAACGCATTACTGCTTCACGGCAGAAATAGGCAGGGCGGTGGTACCCACCCGCGCGGGCTCACAAGAGGTCCTACCACCAGTAGAACCAGTAGTTTGTTTGAACACGCTAATCTCAGGAACTACTGGTCCGATTTGAAAAATTCTTTAAGTGTTAGATAATCCATTTATTGAGGAAGGTAATAGGCTATATTTTATATCATCACGGTAAGACCAATACAAGTGGAGCACCAATAAAAAATGTTTCAAAATAGAGGTTTAAATAGTTCCTTAACATTCCATAATTTAAAGACATTTTCACTTTCTACGTAAATGAAGTAGGCGGTAAAATTTTGCGTTATGTCATAGTAACTATTCCACGCGGTCAGAGTCGCGGGCAAAAGCTAGGGACTAATAAGTTTATTTCGCCGGTAGTACCTACATGATGATATTTAATTTGTACTTGTTTATGAAAATATATTTTATGAAATATTCATTGTCACAGTCGACTATAGTTTTCAATCAATAACCGCGTTTGTTCTCATTATTAACGCTGTCTGACCGTTAGCAGCCGTGGTCGAGTGGGTACAACGCTGAGGGGCGATAAAATACGAGCTCGATACAAGGACGTTACTATAAATCATATTACACCGATAATATAGTAGCTCTATATATTCGTCTTTAGGAAATTGTTGGTACGCCCCTTCGTATTTAATCAACTTATACTTAATTACACACGGACAGGATATTTACGGATACTAGAGGTCCCGCAGTAGTCGAAATTCGACTATAATTAATTGGAATTGTAAGTTTGTACACTATTATAATTGTATTTTATACTTCTCTAATCACAAATTTCTTCAAGG